TATTTACACAGCTGTTGCTGGCCGAATAATGAAATGTTTACTTAAAAAACAAGAAACAGATTAAATATAAACAAAAACTCAAGGACCCACGAGCAAAATGGGAAAAAACTGGATGAGCCATCATACCATTATGAGACATCAATAGTCAGATGTTTTTGGTTTCATACACGGTTTACTTGCAAGACTTTAGTTATTTTTATATTAAAAAATTTTGGGTTTATTAGAAAAACGATCTTTAGAGTGGCCAAACTCTTTATAGATATTAAGAATGTTTGGGTCAGATTGACTTGAGTGATATAGCCGGGGAGATATATAAAATTATCATTATTTACCCCAATTATGTTCCGAGCATAAATTCAAAATTGAAAATCTCTCGCTGGGGACCAGAAGACCAAAGTCGTGGATCCCAACCGAAACGAAACCAGGAAACCGCAAACTAATGAACGGACTGAGCTGTCGGACGGTCCCCGGATTGTGGACCCCAGGGCTGCTGCAGACGACGGTTGATGGTTGGCTTGGGCTGAGTTGGTGGTGGCCAGGGCAGGGCGTTGTGGTTGCGTTGGACCGACGAGCCGGTGGCCCTCGGCCTCTGGAGCTTACCAAAGCCGTCATAGCCGCCGTTGCTGCTGCTACTGATGCGGTTTGCGGTTCTTTTTGTGCCCGATGCAATTGTTCCTGCTCCCGGAGGCCATGACATCAGCAGACACGTATACACTATCTATATATATATATATGGATGCAGAATACACGAACTGTGAGTACGACGTTTTTCAAAATGGCGACTCCTAGTAGATGTAGATACACAAACCGGTAAGACTTTCCTGCCAGCAGGAGGCCCAAAATCGTGACGGCAGTTGTAGGGATTGCAATAATATAACCGATATGGTAGTAGGGCGTAGGCGTATCTTTGGGGCGTACCTAGGCGGCAGCTGAACACTGAACAAACTGAAGCAGCTCAAAAATCTGCTTACATCTGCTGGCTGTTGCCGTAGGATAGGAAATCACAGACATTCTCGTTTCTCAGGACTTATGCAGCTTATAAAACTTTGCCTGAGACGAATCTACTGTAGGCTATCTGCATTTCCCCTCCACTGACAAAAACGCTCCACTTTAAAGTAATGCCAACTTGGTTTTCCTTTTGCCACTGCCGCCCGACTGCACAGTTTTTGTTGTTGTACGTTATAATCCTCTTTTTGTGATCGGATTATGTCCTGTGTAGCACCTAATCCCCGCACAGGAGTGCGACCAGCGTACACATGTTGCCAACGAGCACCGCCCGCACCAGCACCCGCATCACACCACTTCCATTTCATACCCTGCGCCATCCATCCGCACTGATCCCGCAGTCGCAGTCAACTTTAATTACGCACTGGACGTCGATGGATGGATTAGGGCAGCCTTACGCCCACTGACTGCCCGGGAAAAGCAATTAAAATGTGTATCTCTTGAATAAACAGCAGAACTTCCCTAAATTGAACCACCTTTTCAGATATTACGTTCTTATATATTTGTACAAATAAATGTTATTAAAGTATATCGATTTTTTCCCAGGAAAGCAATCTTCTGAAGTAAGAAAATTACAATTATTTGATCGATTTGAAATCAATTTTGTAATTACAGATACGTAGACATCAGATGGTTAAATCCTAACGGCAAATAGGTTAGGCTATCTTGACTTCTAAAAAGGCTCTGTCCAATAGTTTTCTAAACTTTAGAGTTCGACTTTTAACGGAATTATGAGAATGGCAACTTTTAACCATTTAATTTTAATTTCAAATGGGATGCTTTACTGTAAGGGGCTATAATAGGCAGACATTTAGAAAAAATTTACGATGGAAACGGTTCGAGGATGACAGGTGAAGGGTGGTTGTGTATTTAAGCTGTGGCAGTGTTAGTGGCAGGTAGCCCGTGAAAAGTGAAAAGAGAAAATTTTCCAAGATCTATCCGGCCCGATTGCAGGGTAATCAAGTTAATTAGAAACTTTACTTTTTTCGTGCATTTAACGACTTTTATTTGGAGGGGTTGGGGGTTTCCTAGCACCGCCGTCTGGCCATCAGCACTTTGCCTTCTCGTCGTTTTGCTTTGCTTGCATATTCTCATCAAATTAGAGTTAATTGTACATCATTAAAGGCGAATTCTAAGAATTCATTTCGGGTTTTGTCGGTATCTAACAAAATGGCGTTGTACGATTTTGTGTTTCCATTTATTACGGTGTCAAGCAATTTAATTACAACCTGTCGCATGCATGAAACATAATATAAAGTACATACATACTGTACATACATATATAAATGTATTAAATATGGCCTCGTCGAGGGTTGGAAAAGTGCATTCATGTGCAGGGTTTTTGGAAATGACATATGGATAGTCGCCAACAGGAACTTCTCTGTCAGCTGTCACTTTTAATGACATAAGCCCGCCATTTTGACAGGAGCGAAAGATTAATAGGTTTCTCTTTTTGGTTAAGCTTCAGTGATTTTGGTTATTATTAAAATATCGATACCTACATAAAATGGCCTTTGAAACTCAAAACCTTTGTAATTGCTTTAGATATATAGAAAGCTAAGCTAATAAAAAATAAAAAGCTTTTAAGCTAAGTTGAGGAATATTCATTCTATGTTGCTTTCATATTAATTGGTTTTACCTTTTAAAAACCCAAACTTTGACTTATTAAATTAAACGACGTATGAACGTATTTATACGTATGCAAACAAAAATATTAAAATTTTTAAATAATTCATGGCTGAAGCTTTTATTTTGCATTTCTCTTTGTTAAGCGATTCGTCTTTTTCTGTTTTTTCATTCCATAAAAGTTACTTAACAACAAGCTTTTCAATTTAATCATGAATAGTTTTGATGAAATAATTACCTTCCTGACCTAGTCTGTTTGGATTGTGTATAAATTAAAAATAAAATACTTAATGAATAATAAAAATATATGTTTATATCGTAAATTAACATATAAATCTAATGAAAAAATCACATGATATTACTAAAATTAATAGTTTGTCATAGTTTCAATAGGTTTTCTAAGTAACAAAATGGGGCTATACTTTGTATAGCTTTTTTTCCTATGTATTTTTTTTAGAGAAACATCTGTCAAGAAAGAGGGGTAATGTAAATTAAGATTACTATCTATATGGTTTTATGATATAGTGCAGTCTTTCTATAAAATCTAGAATTTACTACAATAAATCATGCTCATCATCCTTTCTGAACACCATACCTTGGCACGGAAAAGTATATTGCACTTAATAGGTTACACCAACATTTGGCCCACAACAGAAATGGGCATTAAGTGATCTAGAGGGGATTCATCGGTAGGGCTAAGGTCGGGACTGCTCTATGGCGATTTAGGGGCCTTAAGTGCCCCCACCGACCGTAGCAAACACAATCGCTTGCATGACTGACGGCCGGATTGAATGAGTGCATGTCATTCTCAGTCCCTGTTTGAATTCAAGTGAGAGTGGTGTGCCACTCAAAAAGGCACCACTCAAGGCAAACATTTATTTGCACGGGCCGCAGGAGAAGAGAAGTTCGAGTCTTGGATACAGTCATACATCCATAACTGAAAGCACATTTCACATGCCATATAAAAAATTTAATCGAAACGTGTTTTAGATTTATTTAGCACAAGAAATAAAATAAACACTGGCTGAAATTTTTAAAGACAATTTTTTTTTATGTTAGGATAATTTTGTTTTATTTTAATAACAATTGCTGGGTGTCCAATTATATGGTTAACGCCAAACTAGTAGCTAAAGATGTTTTTGTGATAAGGTGTATAGAAAGCTTAAAAATTTCCCAAATCACGTTGTAATTAAGCTAGTTATTTTTGGAACTGTTTTTAATCCGTCTGTATAAGATATAATTTTCGATTCCTTTAAAATACTACATTATTGGAAATAGAGAGATTTCATTTTTTTAATTGGCTTCTTGTCCCTCAACGTCTTATGCCTATTAAATCAAAACTGCTGACCACTTAACATCCCAGTGCTACTATGTGGTATTTAGTTAGGTTATACTGTGGCTGGAAAGACCGCTTAGCCACGACGAAGAGCAAACAACAAAGTCAAGCAAACAAACTCTCGCTCATCTGGAGAATGGCAGCTGCAGCTGATCTTCAATTCCAATGGAGGAAATGAGAAGGAGGAAGATGAAGAGAGTGGGGTGCTCACCAGGAAAGAGCAGCACTATTGAGCTCTTCTCGTGAGTGGGAGCGGGATAGCGTCTATCCAGAACAAGCTTACTGACCTTATCGCACCCACAGAGAAACCCGGAGACTATCCGCACGAGACCTAAAGTCACAATTACACAGCAAAGAACAAGTTTTTTTTTTTTTTAATTTTGATATATCGACAGAACATTTCGCTATCCAATACATGCCTAATATAATATTGCAATCTTTAAAGACTGTTTCCACATATATTCAAAAATTTAAATTAATTGTTTCCGCACGAGATACAAATAAAATGATTCTAATTTGCTTTTACTGTTATATATTGATGTAAGTATTTATATGTTATTTGCTGAAAAATTGAACACTATTTGTTGTGAAAGGAGATCATACAAAGTTTAATTTAAGTATCTTCACAATTTTAATCAAAATATGATGTTATTTTTTTATACTGTCATGCTAAGCTGTGTGTAGTGTTTCTCTCGGTGTAATATCTCGGACTGGGCTGCGAAAGTGAAACACACTTACATTTGCCTGATGTTTGTTTGTCTGCCTGCTTTGGCTGTGCGAGAGCTGGCATTTGTTTGCTTTGGCCTGGGAAAATGATAACAAATGGTTTTGCACGAGACTAAAAATAACTGATAAGGAGAAGAGGACGCTAACTCATCAAAACCAAACCAAAACAAAAGTTTACACCGAGCACCGGAATATGTATGTACAGCCGGCTATTTCTTATCAGCAGCGAGAGCACGTGTGATTAAACGTCCGTAGTTAACCTTACTAAAAGGTTATTTTCAGGTAATAATGTGGATTAGGGACCTACCCTTTTTTCCGCACTGTCGCAGGGATTACTAAGGCTCAGCGAAGAAGAGCTCAACGACGATGTAGTGGGCGCTCCGCTGGCCGTGCTGGGTGTGCTCATCTGGGGCAGGACATCTGTGGGCACTGCATCCAGTTGCTCCTGCTTGATCCCGGCAATCAGCGGCAGGAAGTCGTTCTTTAGCTGCTCCAAATCCATATCCATATTGGCAATATCCTATGATTTTACCGCGTGGTAGTTTGGGTGGTTCAAAATGTGGGCGTGCTAATTATAGCAACTGATTTTTTGGTTGACTGACTGATCGACCAATCGAATGTTTTCTCAACAGCTGCCACCTTGGAACAACATGATTATCATTACTATGTTGCAGGGATTAATGTTTTGGAATTAGTTGGGCTGTAAATCCATTCCAATGGTCACACAGGCACACACACTCTCAGGGTGGCGCGCACCAACACACACGCGCGCTCGAGCAAAAACAACGATGTTAAATGATTTAGGAGTTTCACGATTTTTTTTGTCAATTTTTAAGATTCCCTTCTGGTCTTTAATTGACTCCCCTTTATTTCGATGTTAATACATTTTCATTTCACCTTCGACTTCGCGGCTTGCAAAAATACATATATTCTCCCTCTCTTTCGCTCAGAGCGACATCCACAACTTTCGTTTTACATATACACCTTCACTTAGATTTCGCTATTTATCCGTCTGGCCGTCACTTTTTTTCTCTGATTCGTGCCGCATTTCGCCTGTTTGCGGCTGCAATTGTTTATTCGCGTTGCGAGTGCAAGTTTTGTGAGATTTTCTTCCCGTAAAACGCTACGAAAACACACGGTCTCACGGCGTTTGCTCTCGGTGGACGCTTCTTCTGTACAAAAAATGTTCAGCCATTTTGGATTCAATTAATTCATGTCGGCGTTGCCAGTGCGTCGGTATTTCGAGGGCCCGTACACACAGTCGCAGCAACGTAAGTAGCTAAGGTCACACTAAACAGTCAAGGTCCGGCAAGATTGACAAAGGATTGTTGCATATGTCGATCAAATGTAAAAAATTATTTTACAGCTCATAATTAATTTTGGCTTTTTTTTTTTTTTTAGCTTTTTACGGAGTTTACCAAAATATATGATCTTAAGCTGTTACGTACTTTATATTGTTAAGCCATTACATTTTATGTTACATTACAAAATACGGGTAACAATTTGGCGCCATTTCTGCGGTCACACTGAAATGAAATATAACAATTAACGTATTTATTATAAAAAAACTACTAAATAAAGTGTAAAAGTGAATTTAATTAAAACATATTTTTTAATATTTAACTATATATAAATATTTAGAAAACTTTACTCGTACCATAAAACAGCTGAGGCTGTTACACAGGAATAAGAAGAAGCATCAACACACGTGTGGGAATTCCTCCACATTGAATTCAGAATTTTATTTAATGTTTTTAAGCCGGTTATTAAACAACTACACAAAGGCAGGTTAATTATTAGTATTCTGCTATCCAAACTAAAAGATAATCAGTTTGTATTATTAGTACGCCTGAAAACCATTTGGACTCCCTGGGATCGCCACAAATCATTTGCTGCAGCAATGTCTGAGGCTCTGGATAAACTAGAAATGGAGAAAGAAGCCAGAAAGGAGGCCAAAAGTTTGGAGAACGAGGCTGTAAAAGAGACTAACCGGATGAAAAGAACACTTAAGCGCAAAAAGTGGGTTGACTGGAAGGAGCAGGACGAGAAAGATGCGGCCAGCGGTGTAAAGAGGGCTCCCTTCGATCCCGCCGATAGAATCAAGCGCAAGAAAAGCGCAATCCTGCTGAGCTACTGCGGTGCCAACTACTTTGGGATGCAACGCAATCCAGGAATGCAGACCATCGAGGAAGAGCTCTTCAAGGCCATGCTCAAGCACAAATGGATCACGGAAGACAGCTTCGAACAAGTGCAGATCGCCTGCTTTCAGAGGGCCGCCCGCACTGACAAGGGCGTATCTGCGGCACGCCAAGTGTGCTCCGTCAAGCTGCGTGAGTTTTCATTCATCTTACAATCAATTTAAAATGTTAATCCAAATCTGTTTCCTAGCTGAGGAGCTGGATTTGGAGGCCTTTAATGCTGACCTTCCCGAACAGATCCGGCTTTTTGGAGTGGAGCGGGTTACCAAGGGTTTTAATGCCAAGGATCAGTGCAATGCTAGAACGTACACCTACACACTACCTACTATGGCGTTCGCGTCCTGTGAAGAAAAGATCGAAGACTTGCACGACACTTTTCGCATTTCGCCAGAGCTGCTAGAGAAAGTCAGAGATACCCTAAAACTCTATGAAGGCACGAAGAACTTCCACAACTTCACCAGCAAGAAGTATAACGGCATTATATTCTTTTGTAATTTTTAACCATCATTTGATTTCCTAACTTTGTAGGAGCTTCCTGGATCCTTCGTCTAAACGCTTCATCATGTCCTTTACTAGCAGCGATCCATTCCAGAGCCCTCAGGGCATAGAATTCATCACCTTGAAGGTTAAGGGCCAGAGTTTCATGCTGCATCAGATCCGCAAGATGGTTGGTTTAGCTATTGCTATTGTTCGGGGCAACACAACTACGACGAGTTTGGAGCGGGCGCTAACGGAGGAACGCTTGGACCTACCTATGGCCCCCGGACTTGGTCTCGTGCTGGACACAGTGCATTACGAGCGCTACAACGATCGCTACGGCAAGGACGGCATCCACAACCCGCTGACGTGGCAGGCACAGGAGGCGCAAGTGAAGGAGTTCATTGAAAGGGAGATCTTTAGTCAGATCTATAAGACGGAAGCCGAGCAGCGCAACATGCTTGACTGGATAGGAACGTTGCATTTTCACTCGTACGACACGAGAAAGGATGACGCACCACCTGCTCCCACGGAGGGCAAAAGGAGTAAGGATGACGATAATGATGAATGAGCATTAGTATAATTTTTTTAGATGCATAAATGAAATTTGTATGAAAAGTTTTGAGTTTTAATATTAAACTTGTTTTTAAATAAAATAATTGTAAGAAAAACTAAATATTGGAGAAAATCTTTATACTTTATGCTTTTCTAAATAACCAACCCAACTTAATAAGTGCCACAAGTCAAGTTAACATGCAAAACTGGTCGTATAATTAGAGTTTGATAGTAAAAAGGCATTTTTTAAGGTTTGCGCTAGCCTAGAATCGGCCGCCCTTCTTCTTTTTGTGGCCGCCCTTGCGGTGCTGTTGCCTAGGTCCGGGGGTCGTCTCTTGGAAAACGGGAGTGGCGGGTGAGTTCTTGGTCAGATTGACACGGTTGGACATGTCACTGCAAAGGCAATTTATAATAAAAAAATAATTAACGATTTGCCACCTTAAATACTCACTATTGATCGGCTGCTCCCGAGGACATGCCCTGGGATCCCTTAATGACATCCTTGCCTCGCGCTCCGCCTCGCTTCTTCCGGAAGCCAGTGCGTTCGTACTTCGGTAACCAACGTTCAGGATCGGGAGCCACTTCGGCGTTGTAGTTCTTAGGCAGCTTGCCCTTTCGCTTCCTGTTATGATTCTTTCTCTTCTCGACAGGAGTGCTCGGTGAGGGTTCGATCTTTGGCATTGGCAGACTTCTTGGCCGCCTTTGGCGGACATCACCCAGTTGGCAGCCTCCAGGGCATCGATTTCGGAAGCTGTAGTTAGCGTCTCTAGTCTGGGAAGTTTCCTGCTGAGCTCAAGCGCACGCTTAGGCTGGAATTGGGCGTAGGCTATGACTAGCTGAGCCAAAACCTTGGTGTCGTTAGGGTTCAGCTTGAGTAGCTCCTCCAGAGAACTTGCGGCGGTTTCGGATGCTCCACCGCGCAGATGGAACTCAGCTGCTTGGCGCCACATGTCCGACAGATCGCCACTGCTCACGTTATTCTTCTTGTACCAGTCCACGGCAGACTTGAGCAGCGCCGATGCCGACGACTTGTTATCCGTGCCCAAGTAAAGAGATACAAGAGCAGACACAACGCCAGGCTTGTACTTGGCCTCGCCCAGTGACAGAAGTGTCTCAATGGCATCCTTGCGACTACCCTGCAGAAGTTGTAGTTGAATAACAGCAAACTTACTGACAAATTCATGCGACTTTGTGGGCTGCAGCGAACTTCTGGAGCTGGTCTATGGCCTCCTTGTGCTTGCGATCCTTGGCCAGTTGGCTACAGCGAATGAGTAGCGCCTCAAATTCCACCTGCGGATAGCTCTGGGCCAACTTCTGACTGAGCTGTTGCACCTGATCCCCAGCGTTGGTGTAAAGGGCCAAAAGACAGTTGTTGAGAGCGATGACCTGCTTTTGGCGTGAGGTTAGCTTGGACTCACAGGCGTCGGCCAGGGCGGCACGAATCTTCTTCTTGGAGTCAAAGACGTTCTGGTCTTTGTTGATCACCACCGAGTTGTTGCTGGCGACGGCCACCAGGGCCGCGTCCTTGGGCTTGTGGCGCAGACAGTCCGCATAGATGGTACCCGCCTCCTTTATTTTTCCCTGCAGCTGCAGTACGTAGGCTAACTGCACACGGATGACGTCTACCTCTTCAAGAATCTCCTCCTCGGTGGCGCCCTCGTCCTCAAGGAACTCGCGGCACAGTTTTTCGCTGGTGCGCAACTTGCGCTCGGCCTCCACATACTTCTGCCGATTGGCCTGGATACAGGCACTATTAAAGTACTGCTCATAGGTATCTTCCGGAACCTCGGGCACATCCTTTGTCTGGTCCACGGCCAGATTGGCAGCCACAGCGCTGAGATTGGTTCTCCGCTCGTCTTCGTACTCATCGCTGGTGTTCTTGATAATGTCGCGGTAGGCGTCCAGGCACTCATCGTAGCGCTCCAAGCGGTACAGAACTTGGGTTCGCAGTTCTTTAAGGTTAGGCGGTAGAGGCTGCAAGCCCGTATCATCGATGGTTTTTAACGCCTGTTGCTGTTTATTCAGACGGTACTCGCAGTAGGCCTTCTCGAATGAGAGCGAGGAAAGGCGATTCTTTTCAATGAACTTGTAGGCCTCCTCGAACTTGGACAGTTGCACCAAACACACCACCTTACAGTGCAGGGCGGTGGGATCGTCGGGAGCCACGCCCAGGACTAGGGGAGATCACCATTTAACTTATCTATTGGGTACATCCTTTACAAATCATAAAACTTACTTCGATTCACTGCCTTCACGGCCTTGTCGAACTCGCGATTATTGCCGAACTTGTGCACATCTGCGTAGGCCGCCTTGATCAGCGCCTCTCTGGGATTGGCGTCTTTTGACATCCTAGTAACTCAGCTGACTAGATGATGGTAAAATATATTTAATTTGCAGACTTAAACTTTCGCTTATTGGTTAACATGCAACTTTTGACATTTGTAGACACATCAGCAAGGTGACGTTGCCAGATAGGCGATAAAAGTTACAGGAGTACTTAAAAAAATACTTTGATATGTATTAATCTAATTAACATATAAAAGTTTATTTATATTAAATTTATTTATATGAATTATTTGCCAAAGAAACTTTTCTATAAGCATTTAAAAGTGTATACACTTTTTTGAGCCACTGGTGTTTCGCTTCTTAAACAACTCGGTCACACTGTCGAGACTCGCTGGCGACGCCTTTGCGCGATACTTTTGATCCGATCTGTGCCCGGATTATTGGATTATTTGATTTGATTATTGGAAAATGTCCGCCGAAGTGGATTTCGTTAACAAGAAAGAGGTGCACCTCCGCAACCTAAAGCAGTCCGGTCATGTAGGATTCGATAGTTTACCGGACCAATTGGTCAACAAAAGTGTCCAAAACGGATTCGTCTTCAACGTCATGTGTATAGGTGTGTATATGCGGGTGCACTATCCATGTGTGAGTGTGTATGCGGCACAGTGAATCAACCAAAGTTTTACTTGCATGTAAAAACAGTGGCGTCCAGGCAAATAGCACTGATTTCGGCAAACCACAATGTTTCTGCTGTTTATGATCTTGAAATCTGTATAATATAAAAATATTGGGTTTTAAAGTCAGTTTTAAGGTTTAAACTATTGAAGCTTAACCACTGACTTTCTTGTTAATTATATTTTTCCACCCAATATAACAACAGCAACATAAATATAACACCTATTTTGAAACAAATAAATGTTCTTCAAAATGTACGCCATATAGTTAAACCGTCAATGCTATTAATTTGTCCTTTTCTGTACTATGTACTCAAGTATTTCATGCTGGAGTGCATTGCTCAGATAAAGTGAATCACCTACATACATAAATGCGGGTAAACAATTGAAATAACCAGACACCCAGATACCATTAGTATGCAAAGTGGCCGGCAATCGATTTCCTCCGTCGCTTTCTACAATTTCACCCTGACACCAATGGCGCAGAGCTTCTGTGGCCAATTGAGCCCACTTGGGCAATGATTTCCCCTCCCAAATCTGAACAAATCTGACCTCCATTTTCAAATCTTTTCTCTTCGCAGGCGAAACTGGACTGGGAAAATCGACGCTGATGGACACTCTGTTCAACACCAGTTTCGAGTCTACGCCAAGTCCCCATACCCTGCCCAGTGTCAAGTTAAAGGCACACACCTACGAACTGCAGGAAAGCAACGTGCGGCTCAAGTTGACCATTTGCGATACGGTGGGCTATGGCGACCAGATCAACAAGGACGATTCTTTCAAGGCGGTAGTGGACTACATTGATGCCCAGTTCGAGAACTATCTGCAGGAAGAGCTTAAAATTAAGCGATCACTAGTGACATGCCACGACAGCCGCATCCACATCTGCCTGTACTTCATATGCCCCACTGGGCACGGCCTCAAGTCGCTGGATCTGGTGTGTATGAAGAAGCTAGACAGCAAGGTGAACATTATTCCGGTTATTGCCAAGGCGGACACCATTTCTAAAGTAGAGCTGCAACGCTTCAAGGCGAAGATCATTCAGGAGCTGAATACCAATGGAGTTCATATCTACCAGTTCCCCACCGATGACGAAACTGTGGCCGAGACAAACACCAGCATGAACTCGCACATTCCCTTTGCTGTGGTCGGCAGCACGGAATTTATTAAGGTGGGAAACAAGCTCATCCGCGCCCGTCAGTATCCCTGGGGCACGGTGCAGGTGGAGAACGAAACGCACTGCGACTTTGTAAAGTTGCGCGAAATGCTCATTCGTACCAATATGGAGGATATGCGCGAGAAGACGCACACGCGGCACTACGAGCTGTATCGGCAGAAGCGTTTGGAGCAGATGGGCTTTAGCGATGTGGATAGTGACAATAAGCCGATCTCGTTCCAACAAACATTTGAGGCCAAGCGCTCGAATCACCTTGCCGAGTTGCAGTCCAAGGAAGAAGAGGTGCGACAGATGTTCGTGCAGAGGGTTAAGGAAAAGGAGGCCGAGTTGAAGGAGAGCGAGAAGGACCTGCACGCTAAATTCGAAAAACTGAAGCGAGACCACGCCGAGGAGAAACGCAAGCTGGAAGAGTCGCGAAAGGCGCTCGAGGAGGACTACCTCGATTTCCAGAGGCGCAAGCAGCAGTTGGCTACCGCCCACCACACGCTCACCCTCGGCAAGAGCAAGAAGAAGTAGAATACGCCACCGCCGCCGAGCAATGTATTGAGAATTCTGTGCGGTTCGCTTATCCCAAAGTAATTATTGCTTTCTCATCTCGTTGTCTTTCATTTGTACTATTAAGTTTACTTCAAATATTAACATAATACACAACTAAACGCATATGTACGCAAACATATATGATTATGTATTTACAACTAACGAATAAATCGAACTTAGTATTTTAAAAGGCTTAACTTTGGGGAATTTGAAAAAGACAGACTTCCAATGGATTATTAAGGGCATAAAGTTAGCTTTTAATTTTAAAAATGGATGATGGAATGGTTGTTCAAAATTCAAATTAAAATCTAATTTGTAAAGAACTGATTTCTAAAATCGATAAAAAAAATATCAAAAGATGTAGAAATCATATTGTTTTAAGGACTTCAATTTCAAAAAAGTCTTCTTAAATTAAAATGCATTAGCTTTCTATTTTTGTTAGAATAAAAAAAAAACTATTTTCTAAATAGTAAAATCATCGTAATTTTTTATTACCCGCTTGAGTTTTGAATATTATGAGTAGCGGGATTATTTAGTTAGATGTGGGCACAGTTCCGTGATATATTTAGCTCAATTCAATATATGCAAACTGGCCACACTGAAACCTACTCACTGCAAAAAATTGTAGAACAAATTAAAAACGCAATAATAGAACAACCGCAGCAAAAACAGAACTGCAGAGAGCACTTAATGCTCAAACGAAAGCAATTAACCGTGTTCAACTTAGAGAATAGCTTGTGAAAGAGGGTGTATCTGTGGGGAGAAGTGAGACACCCCTTTGTGTTTGTTTTTTTGTTCGTTATAAATTTTGTTTGTTGCTTGGATTGGATTACGATTTGATGGTAAGGGTGGGGATACGCGACAGGGGGCTCCCAAGTGATTTTTCATAATAAGCATCGAGCGGACGGGAAATTCCAATCGGCATTGCGAACATGTCCCTAATAGCGTCGTCACTGGTTTTCTACGCTTTTCTCCAGACAGGTGAGAATAATGTTTAATGGATAATAGATATGGCGGTGAAATCAATAAACCGCAGAATGCGACCAAGACTAACTAATGATTCCCCAATTTTGCAGTTAACTGTTACACGGTCATAATCACGGCACCCGAACAGGCCCTCTTTGGATCCTCTATTAATGTGACCGCCCAGCTCTACGATGGCGACAGACCGGCTGCTGGGGACAAACCCTACAAGTTCACTTGGAGCGACAGCGCTGGCCATAAAAAGGTAATGTTTTCCAAATCCACATCCCAAGAACGTGATCAAACAAAGAAAGAAAGCTCCGAGCCGAATGATATGACTAACTGCCTGCGAATGGCAATGCAAATGCAAGCGAGACTATCAGGCCCAGAGTTTACGGTCTACGCCCATAAAACTGGTCAAGAAAGCTACCATCATTGGTTGGTTTTCATACTAAAGGCATCATTTAAAAACAATTATATTAGAAACATATTATATTTGATTTTATATATTAAAGGGGTTGTTAGTTTATTTTATATGGACTTATCATCCCATGAGGAAATTCTTATTTATTCATATCTTTAAGTTTCCAAGAACATTAATTATTTCTCTTCACCTATTGTTTATTTTATTAATGGGTTGCTTCTTAAAATTTCTATTAATATAATTGATGGAATAAGTTATAGAATTAGTAATTCTCTTGAATAGTAGCAGTGGCTGATAGGGGATTTTTATATAGTATATTTTTTGAATCGTCTAAGCCAGACGACCACTTTTCCCGTTCTAATCTCAGCCATGCGGCTTCAATTGATATGGCGTCATTTGAATGGTAATTTTACACAATTACTATTCAGCGACAGTTTTTCCGATTGTGCCTGGTACATAGTCATATTACCGGCGTTTGGAGGTTACTATTGTATATAAATTTGCATATAGAATAGCTTAAAACTGTTACCAATTGTACTAATCAATTACCTTTCTTCCAACAGGTAATTGAAACGAACAACGCCATTAGCAATTGGACTGTGGTTTACACGCAGGAGCAACCGGTGACGCATGTCATCAAAGTCGAAGTGGAGAAGTTCTTCTCCTTTTTTTGGATACTAGAAGCCCATGCCCAAAAGGGAATTAAATTGGATAACTTGTTGGGCGGAAGATTGGAGCTCATTCAGAACAATGTAACTCGGCCTCGTGAGTTTGTGTCTACGCAGGAAGCGGTGAATCATAGCATATCACTTTCTGATGCTGACTTGGCGTTTCTGCGGTCAAACGGATACCACATTCAGACGTATTGGTTTCAAAACTGCACATATCTGGGCATGTCTGGTGCCTTGTACTATCAGGCCACATATCCGAAAGCTGGACAGTATTATGACGTGGAGGCTTTAGTGGTGGCTTCATTGGAACTGCCTCCGGAGCCCACGCCATCAACTACGAGGACAACCACAACAACAACTACTACGACTACAACGACAACAACTACCACAACTACAACTCCAGCAACAACAACTACTTCAACAACACCTGCTACAACGACCACTCCAAAAAACACAACAACGACTACAACTACAAAAACCACTACTCCAAAGCCCCCGACTCGAGTTAAACGTGATTTAATCCAGGCCATGCACGCAAATGCAGCAATTCTTGGCCTAAACCTCACCAACGCCCTAAAGCAGCAGAACAGTTCAGCTGGAAATGTGTCCATAGCACTGGTAAACCCGCTGGGAGTTCAAAGACTGTCCAAACTCATTGTGGTGCCCGGAAGTAAGCCTCCTTTTGATTGCGTGAGCAAAAAATTCGTGGCCCAGGATCCCAAACAGATATATGGCTACTTCCAGCATCGCGTTGTGTCCAAGGGTATGTATTTTGAATTCTTACTACTGACTATTTGATTTTCCACGTTGATTATCCAAAAGATCCCATCACCGGTTTCGGAACCACTGGCAAGAATTGGCTGCAACACTGGGAGATGCTTCATCTCAATGTCAACTGCAAGGGATCGCCGCCGTTTGAGCTATGCACTCAAGTTTTTACAGGTAAGACATTGTTATTTAATAATTTTAAAAGATATAACAAATTTCTTATAGCTCCTTACAATTCCACGGGCAACGAGACGTGCGATCTCTATGAACATATCGATAATTGCTCGTATAAGTACTTGCGTTATTTCAGTGAAAGCAAGACGATTTTGTTCTTCATACGCAACGAGGTCTCACAAACACTCAACCAGGTCACTATTAACATGTATGAAGGTGAGTGAAATTAAATCTTAGATTTCAATATGTTGAATTTGATTATTTATATTATTATATTGCAGCCCAACGGCAATCTCAGCTTTCGGTCGTTGTTGTGCCCGTCACATGCACATTGGTAGCAGTAATTCTAGTAATTTTCGGTGTTGCCTATTATATCCAGCGGGGAAATCGGTAAGAACAAACGGTTTAACGCTGGAAAACAATTATTTCAAACTGCTCCTTTCTACAGCTTCAATGTCGAAGTCGCCGACTTCAACTTCGGTGATACTCAGTCGGTGGACATGGAGTACAAGACATTCCCGCAGCGCCTAATTGACAGTATCCGCGACGCCTGGACGTGGCCAGGTCAGCGGCGGCACTCGCAGTCCAGCGCTGATCTCATGGCAGACCAAGACCAACCGCCTAGTCCAGGATTTGGAGGCAATGTTGGCGATGTAGATAGCAACCTGCGCTATAACACTTTCAACTAGATCCTGAAGAGGTTCGGTTGGTCTGTGGTTACCTATGCAAATTAACCATTTTAATTTAATTTCGGCGCCTAAGTTATGAAAACCCTGCATCCATTTCCCTCCAAATTTTGTGATCTATGAATTTGTGCCGTTTTAAACCTAAATATTGGTTTAAAATTCTGGGCAGTTCCTAGAAAATTTGACCGGGCACTCGATAGCGGGATCAGGTGTGATAATTATTTGTTATTATTTGTATGTGCACACTTATGTGCTTTAGTCATTTTCTTGTTGTACGTCAGCACCTTGGGGAATACACCCAAATGTACATGAATAGAGATGAAAGAATCTTTTTTTGTTTTCCCTACTTTATCTCTCTCTGCGTTAACATTGTAATCATCTTTTTCCAACATCTACGCACACACTTGCTCATCAATGGCCAAATGTCGAGTTACAAGCAACCATTTAAAATCGCAATACCTGGTGTGCAGCAGTGTTCGGGAATGCAGCTGTAAGCCCTTTGGATATTGTTAAAGACTGTCTTTGTTCTAAAAGCAAAAAGAAATCTGGTTAAATTTACACATAACTTATGCGTGGAAAATTGTTTGTGACGAGTTAACTGCTAGCATAAGTCAATTTGATTGTTTCCATTGTATCGTGATCCAAATTCTTTGACAAAGACAAGCGCATCTCACACTAAAACACGCGACACAAATATTCATTGTGATAGATATAGAAAAAACAGTATGTACGTTTAACTAAAACGAAAAGTTTGAAGAAAACCCATATACTTATAAAGCTAAAAGCTGTTTTTTATTTAATGGAGCAACTGGGGATTTTATTAATTGGAATTATAGATACATTTTAAAGAGTTTTAATCGATTAAAGACATTTTCCTTACACTAACTTTAAAATTTTAAAAATGTTTGCTACCAAGATACTTTTATTCAAAACTTGAATTTTCAAAAAAAAAATATTTCCCAATAATAATTAAATTTTGCGCTCAGGACAGACTGAAATATCATTTCCTGCGGCTCTGGTTTTTTTCCGTTAGTGCGAACTGGTAACACCAAAATATTATATGTCCAAAAATCTTGGCGGATAATTGACAATGTTTCTAAATGGTGCTGGGCAGCCTTTAATACATGGGAAAAGCAAAGAATATGGGCAGGTATTTTATTTTCACTATATTTGAAAGAACATATTGATACATTTTATCTTTCTAGCATCGCGGACCCTTGCTTTTGTCATCAGCCGCCTTCAATGACCCTATATTTCCCCAAAACTGGAGCAAATGTGTTGTAGGATCTAAGGAGGATATCTTGCGATATAATAATTTTCGATCATTCACTGAAAATTGCAGTTTTAAGACGCTTTTGCCAAATACACCCTCGGAAATCAAATGCGACGAATCTGTGATTATAGTAACGTTAATACCTGCAGGAAAAATGGAAAACTTGTTGGAGTCGCAACTCTTCTATATAGACAGTAGGTCTTAGTCTTAAGTATCATATTTTGGACTAACCCTATTTATTTTTAGATGGTTATACCAGATATCTTATTGTGGACAGTCTATCCAGCTATCTGGACTTTTTACCTAAGGCCCATGGTTCCTTTCACAGTGGCATCAGAAAAGGAATTGATGTTCTTTATGTAAACGAAGAGCTTTTGAATGAGACCACCATAAATGAGGACCTCTACAGTTTGGTGGACCTGATAAAACCAAAATTCATTTATGGTTTAAGGGAACGGGAACTGCCCAAATGGCTGCTCGATCTGCGTCGGATTAATGACATATACAAAAGATTAAAAAAGTAGTTTACAGTAAGAAAATTATGCATTTAAAACCAACGACCTGTTAACAGTCAAATAAAATCTATCTAAGACCTAGTCCCCGGTTAACCCTTTGTCGCCTTGGCCTTGCTTTTGACCTTCTTAACCCGTTTCAGGCCGTCCATCTTGCTCTTCATGAACTGCGAGTACATTCCCATCATGGTTGGCACATCCTCCTGCCGCACGACGGTTGAAATCTACCGGAAAATGTGATTTGTTTAAGAGTTTTAGGGAGGATCCTTTTCAGGCTTACCTTCTGGGACTTTGACTGCGCTCGTATTAGGCACATGTACGTTTCAGGTTTGGGTAGAGGGGGTCGTCCTTCTCTTGGAACAGGTTTATCGTTGCCATCATCTAAAGAATTTTGAAAAGATTTTGTTACTGCCAAAAGCCATGTTTTTTTGGATCACACCACGTACATCTCTTGAAAGTCAACGTGAAGGAGGAGTCCTTTTTGGCTGCATTGGCGATCTTTTCCAGGCGCAGGATGAACTGTAAGGAAATACGTTTAAGTAACTAGTTATAAGCAATTCTCTCTATTTATTTACGTTCGAATTGTCTAGCAAAACCATTTCGTGGCAAATAAAACAGGCGAGACGAGAAAAGTGTCACTGACAGTTGTCGCGGGATTTTTTAGTATATTTCTGTGATGTTAAACAGGGCTGGACAAGCTCTTAATGAAATAGATGTTTAGATGCTTAGTCTAACTAAGCGGCAAATTCTTTTGAATATATTCGGACAAAATTTAAATACATTTTATATTTACTTACATATATGGTTTTGATTTGTATACTGATATATAACAGTATCGTGATAAGCGGCTAGAGTCCTCTGACCCTGAAGTATCGATACTATCGATGGTGGCATCGATGGTTTGACAGCTCTAATTGGTTGAGAAAGCAGCAGCAAAACGAAAAAGGCCAGAAAAAGTCGTAAAACTACGAAAACCTACAAGTGCGGGGCATCCGAGGAAGCTGTTGCACAAACACAGACACACATACACGCACGCCGTACTGCAAACAGCACGCCACGCCCACCCGCGCCCGCCCCCAACTCCGGTCGACCGGGACAGAAAGAAAAGAAAAGCGCCCAGCAGCAGCGGTGGTGCAAGCGAAGTAGGAAAATTTCAGCCGATTGAAACGAACGCCCGTGACCGCTAAAGGAAGCGCCGCCCACGCAGTCAGTTCCCGCACTCTCATCACTCGCCAACGCCTTAGCCACCTGGTTAATCCACATCCTAGTAGCTACCGCAAATTCATCCAGCGCCACAAACTCCGCAACATGGTGAGTGGTGAGCAGCCTATTCAGGATGCATCTCTGTTCCGTGCCAGAGGTGACCGAACATATGTCTCCCACTCGAACGTCCCGCCTATCTGATTATTACACCAGAAGGCATGACACAGTAAAAAACGGCCACTGAACTTTGACCGAAACAAAACGAATTGTCTGAAATGCTTGACCCTCTCTTTTCTAGGACGTGTTCCTTATGATCAGGCGGCAGAAGACGACCATCTTCACGGACGCCAAGGAGAACACAACGGTAGCCGAGCTGAAGCGAATGATTGAGGGTGAGTGTTAAGTTCTATTTATAGAGCGCGTATTATTGGGTAACTCGATTATTGACTATCCATCCCATCGATCGTAGGCATACTAAAGGTGCAGCCCGTGGATCAGCGGTTATACAATCAGGACAACGATGTTATGGAGGACGAGAGCACGTTGCAGGACTACGGAGTGACGGTGTCTACGGCCAAGGCGCAGGCTCCGGCGCAGCTGGGTTTGACATTCAGGTGAGAGTCGCTGATAAGCCGCTTGCGGGTTATCTAGCGGACAAGGCGGGCAAGAGCGGCACGTGTTCCGTTTAAAGGCTTACAGCTTGCCAGTCTATAACTAGTTTGGCTCTTTTTAGAAACGAGATGGGCGACTTTGAAACACTGGACATGACACCCTACTCAGCACCACCAGACTTACCAGAAGTAATGAAGAACCAAGAGGCCTCGAACGGACAGGAGCAGGTTGCATAAACAAGCAGCAGAAGCATTCAGTCAAAACCCCTACGAAAACAGCAGCAAACACATCATCAAAAGCAACAGCAACCGAAGCAGCAAAACGAGACAAACTCAATCCGCTAAATTCAGAGACTCTTAACTACTGTCGCTCGCTTGTCCCCCACAAACGAAATGTACGAAAATTAAATTCCGGATAGAAGAGGGAGATCTATCTGCGATATCCAACCTCTCTGCCTGGTCAGAAAAGCAACCACTGCAGTCGCAACCGCAATAGCTAAATATGCATTTTTCGTTGTTAATAGCAAGGAACAATTCACAATGTTTCCAACACAAAATTGTACTTTGGAATGGGATTTATAATATTTGGCTTTAATTTTAACCTAACCCCCCATTTGTTTATTTCTTTTTAATGAAATTTATACGAATTTGTTGAGAAAATACACAAAGTCATAAAAAGTAAATGCGCGAACTGAGCAAACGTGCAGCAATTTCAATACCCAATCCGCTTGATCCTTCTTAAGCAGAGTGAATATTTAAATAATATTGGGATCTAATTATATTATAATTTATAATCAAATCATTATTTTTGTAATAATAAGATTTAATTATTATTAAAAACGAACGAAAAAACCCCCCCCGTCCATCGGCTAATCACTCTCGTCCAGCTCGGCCGTCATGGCAGCGACTTCGGCATCGTTGTCGTCTTCTGTTCCGCTTTCCACGAATGAAGCATTACCGCTCTGTTGCAGTTCTTGGTGCTCAAGGTACTCCTGTAACCGGTCTTGGAAGAAATTGATGAAGGTCTGTTTTTGCTGCGCCGTGGCTGGAAAATAGTGGCCTCCACTGTGCTCCAGCACCTCCGCGTTCTTGAAGTGCCCAGCCAGTGACTCGCTCATCTCTTTGGGAATGATCTCATCCGTCTGACCGTATATGTGCAGTGTGGGTATGCTGATGGCCTCCTCATATGCGCTCATGTGCACCAAGCTTCCTGAAAGAAAGCCTGAGGCGAGAACCGCGAACTCTGGCCGGATGGAGGTCACTGTGGGCCGTAGTTCGGATATTTAATTATATTGTTTTATGGTATTATAGGGACTCACACTTTTTTTTGGCAAGGCCGCATATGAGTCCAACGAAACAGGCACCCTGCGAGAAGCCAAGGAGACCTTGGAACGGACCCTGCACTTGCCACGTCTCTTCCACGAGGCGAAGGCTCTCCTGGAAGCCAAAGGCGGGTCCACCTTTGTTCGTTCCCTTGAAGGAGCCATCGTCCTTGTTGGCCCACCAGCTTCTGTGTTCCGGCACGGGTTCTGCCGCCGACTCCAAAGCAGCGGCCACGTGTGGAGCCGTTATAAACACGAACTCAGCGTACTTGGAGGCGAACTTGCGGAACGATCCCAACTTGTTTTTGAAGGCATCTCCATTCTGGCGGTACCCGTGAAGGCACAATACACGCACTTTTTCGGTTATTTCTAGCTTGGGTTGTTGCTTGCTGCCGCTAGCCCGACTGGAGCCAGCTGTCTCTCCCGCCGCATCATTGTTGGTCATTTTGTCGCAGGTGTTTTTGATTTTTTAATGTTTTTATCAGAAAACAAAACAGTAAAAAAACAAGGTTATGGACTAATAGAGATGGCCAAAAGTCGATAACGAAAGCTGCAAACTGCCTGGCAGCGCCAGGCAATGGAAACGGACCAGGTGGCTACTCTTGGCAAAGAATGCCGCATTTTTTACGTAAAACTTAGTTTCCGTAAATGCAACAAGTTATCCGTGCTGTCCTGCTAGATAAAATAAATATTTAAGCCAGTCCGACTTGTTTACAACTTAAAGAAGAAAGATCTGCATCTGCACCATGTTGTACACCACCACGATGCTGTCCTCTCGCGGCGGCCTCATCGGTTCGCTGATGAACAAAGTCAGGCAAGTTGTAGTCAAAGATTGGCCACCTAGTGCTCCACCTCTAGCAAATGACACCGACCACAGACCATTCACACCCACTAGGCCCCTCGCAGCTGCCAACATCAGTAACTCCCCGGCGGCTCAATCAAAAACACTAGAGGAGCAGGTGGGCCTCCCACCTCGACCCAAGAAACCCTTAACGCCCTACTTCCGATTCATGAGGGAACAGCGACCCAAGCTTTTGGCCTCCAATCCCAAGATCACCACAATCGAGGCGGTGCGCCAGCTGTCCAAGAATTGGTCCGATGCCGATGCCCAGTTAAAGGAGCGCCTACAGGCCGAGTTCAAGAAGGACCAGCAGATCTACCTAGAGCAACGCACTAAGTACGATGCCACCCTTACCGACGAACAGCGGGCCGAAATCAAGCAGCTCAAGCAGGACCTCATAGACGCTAAGGAGCGTCGTCAGTTGCGCAAGCGTGTCAAAGAGTTGGGGCGACCCAAAAAGCCCGCTTCCGCCTTCCTGCGATTCATCGCCAGCGAACGTACCAACACTCCGCAAGGAGCCAAGCAAACCTACCGCGAATGGCATCAAAAGACCACAGCCAAGTGGACCCGCCTCTCCGACTCCGAGAAGGATGTCTACTTGCAAGAGTCGCGTAAAGAGATGGAAATCTACAGGTGCGTATTTGATATGTTTTTAAGAATGGTTTAAGGCTAAAATTATGTTTCCAACTGTATAATTTTCGTTTTATGAAAGTAATTTTAAATTGTAAATAGTATAAACAATCATTGTAACTTTTATTGCTAATCCAAAGAAAAATTTCAATTATTTTTAAAAACTTTTAGAAAACAAAAAAAAATTAAACTTTTTAAAACTATATTCAATCAAAATTGACTCATGTTGATTAAAACTAACTATAAGGAAGAAAAACGTCTTTACAAACCAATTTTTAAAGGAAATCATTTTACTGTTTTCAATTAAATTTAAGTACATCTCAGATTGCACGTGATTTTTTTTAGTTTATTTGACCATCTTGACGATATACGCATCTATTTGTGACGTGTTCAGCAAGTTCATTTTTATAAATATAAAATCTCTTGCTTTATTACTACAAATCACAGATTATTAAGCACAGTTGAAAAAAGTTTTTTTGTTAATCTTATTTTGAGCTTCAACCCCCTAAAATTTATTTAACACGCAACAATTAATTAAAATCACGAATTTCTTTGCTTTGCAGGAAAGCGATTTCCGTTTGGGAAGAAAAAATGATCCGTTTGGGCCACATCGACGTGGTACGTCACGGCAATCTTATCGATCCACCAGAACCAAAGACCCGCAAGACGCAATCTGTCAAAGATAAATAGTGCTAGCTGCTCGGCCTGTATTCTGCCATCACATAATTCTTAATTCATAATTCATTTTATTTTTTTCGTTTTTCTTCTTTTCATCGCAAATTGTTAGGGCTAATGCATTAAAGATTAAAAGCTAGCCCGCCATAAGTTTAACTTAGAATCCCTTGTTCCTGCAGTTAGTCTTACGAAAGGTACAATTAGTAATTTTTCTGAACTATGTAAATAGCTTCAGCATTAAATATAAAGACAGTTTTTGACAAAATTGTGTAAAAATGTTTAACTGATTAGAAAGCAAGAGCATGTGTCCATCAAAGTCAATAATAAGCTTAATATGTATATACATATAACCTTTGTAATTTTAATGCTTCTGCCAACACGTCGCATATGGAACAAACACGTGGCATTGGCAACTTTTGGGTTTAAAGCGAGCTGACCAAAGAATGGGGTCTTTGACAACACGTGTCTGAGTCTTACGGGGTTAATATCACACTGGATTTCTAGTTGATTTAACACGGTAATCGACACAGTTTTAATCTCTCTGCGTAGATCACGGTAAACAAATATGCGATAGATTTGTCACCTCAAATGCGCAGATTACAAAGGTTATAATTGGTACAGTCAAACGTGGACTGGGTTTACTGTAATGTTTTAGCTTTGAGACGGACACAACCGCTCGCTTCTCGTTTCAGTTTTCAAATGAACGAACAGTTCCAAAGCCGGAATACGGCTGCGTTTCTGGTCAAGCTGGAATGCTGTCGACTGGAATGATATTTCCGCTCTCCCTCTCTACACAAATTCGTATATATCTCTCCGATCCGACTAAGTGCTGAGGTCGGAGAATTCGGCGCATAAGGCAGGCAGCAACAATTGATAACCGTTCGAGTGTTCAATCAGGGACGGATTAAATATATACTTTAGCAATGGCCCCCTTAAAATGCATTATATTGTTGGATCAGGTTTGAAATTTAGATGAATATTTAAATATTAAAAAAAATTTAATTCAACTTTGCTTTGAAGTTTCGAAACTTCTTTATGTTGAGCGAATTTCGTTACCTTTTACGAGGTTATTGCGAAATCAACTTTTAAAGTATCTTGTTAAGACTAAAAAATTAAACGTAACTATTACTGTCTGTTTTCTAAAATTTAAAATAGTTCGTTATTTACCATGGTAAAAGTGTTTTGTAAGTACAAAAATACATGTATGTACATACATATATTTTCCTTCTAAACTGGATGGCTATCTCTCCATTATAGTGTTGGTACCTTCTTGGAATGCCTCTCACTCCACTTTAGCTAAATTTCGAAACAGTTTCGGCTCTCTGAAGTGCACAGGTATCCCAGGTAGACGGCCTTCCAAGGGAAGAAGACAGCTGACTGTCGAAAAGAGAGGCTTTGCTTTCCAGTAATCCCCTTTGACAGGTAGTCGAATCATGACTTGAGATTTCCATAGTTTTCGTCATGCCGCTTGGGTTTTCCGCTCTAGACAATTGAAAATGTTTTCACCTAATTTCGAGGTAATGCAGTCAGTCGGCCAAACCTTACTAACTTTACTTTTTTTCTCGCCTGGCATTGGCCAAAACACTTTAAAACGACCAACGACCGCCACATTCTTGGGCAAGAATCTGAGTTACCTCCGAGTTTTCTGGCCAAATACCACGTTCGGGCCACCAGTAGCAGCGGAATTGCGCAAGCCATATTGGCGCAACCTTGGGCTACTCCAAAAGCCGAAAAACTAACCACTTACACACGCACATGAAAATATATATGTACATATATTTTTGCAATAGAAAAATAACAAACAACTAGCGAACACCAAATCTAACTCAAAATTTGCCTTAGCCTGTCTAATAAAATGTGCACAAAATTCGGCAATTCGAATGACAAAAATGCATTAGGCACTTAAAATAAACAGGCAGCTGGGAAAAACGGCTGCGCATGCGCACGATTAAGGCTATTAGATTAGTGATTTCCCAGTCTCTGGGTCTATTGAGTATGTAGGTAGTAACTACAGTAGAACTTCTATAAGAATTTTCGTTAATACAGTTAACATTTTATTAAAGTTTATCTGTAAATTTCTTCACAAATAGGTCCCACTGTATTAAGATACTCTATGCCAGAGCAGCCAAGTGGAACCATTTATTAAGTAGTACATGTATCCGAGAGTGTATTGTCTCTAGTAACCGTCTAATACTTGTTTTATTTAGTCTTCGGGTCCGCTGCTCAGGTGGGCCCAATTTTAAAGCTCTTGTGGATTCGGACTCGGACCTCCCTCGATGGCTTCCAACTGGAGGCCAACTGCTTTTCGGCGGCAATTGCGCCACAGAAGAAGTTGAAATTTCGGTTAATATTTTTTCTGTTACGTATTTATTCAACGAATTTGGTTCTTTGCAAAAGTCGTAAGGTTGTAATGTTTTTTTTTTAACAAGATGCTACATAACGTACATACACATATACTGGATATATTTATCGATCTTTGCCGGATGCGACATAAACCTAACACTTAGATGCTAGACGAATATTTACATATAGGTAAAGATAATACAAATACGAATACGAGATGTACAAGCTCAGAGGAGTTTTCGACAATAATTTAATACAATGGGTAATGGTGGAAATAGAGGGATTGTTTAATTTCGACGGTCCCGAATGTTTATGTTTGTTTTGTGTGATGTTTGGTCGAATTAAATGTGGATTAGATAAAGAGGTTGCTCTAGGGATTCCTTGCTACCATTCAACCAGTTCCGGCTGATAACAGTGATTTGCCTCAATCCATTTAAAGTCTCTCTCTGAAATTCCCTAACTGATCGACAGTGTACAATTAGCTATAAACAAAACAAAGTACAAATGAATCACGCACAGGATAAAGCCATTACTCCAGCTAAAGCTTAAGTTAGCCACGCTGCTTGCTGTTCCCACTGCTGCTGTGGCTGTCCTCGGACGGCGGACGTACCCACCCACCGTAGCGGCGCTCCATTTCTCGCGCCACCGCCAGGCAGAGGTGGTCTTGACCCGGATTCGCGACCACCTGGATACCCATAGGGAGGTTACGCCGGTCCAAACCGATCATACAATTGGTCACCGGCAGGCCCAGCGTATTGAAAATGGCCATATACATGGGCTCCAGAAGTTTGTGGTAGATCTGGTAGTGCTGGTGCGCCGTGTTGGGAAAGGTCGGGTACAGGAAGACGCCGTCGTTGCCCAGCATCTCCTTGAATTCAGTCTTGAGCGCCTCGATAATGCTGGCCAGATGCTTGTGGCGCGAGTTTGGGATGATCTTCATGAAATTCTGCAGATGGCCAAAGATCACCGACGGCAGGATGCTGTCTGAGCAACCGAAGAAATACTTGACCGTCTCCTTGCACACGGTCTTAGGCTGCTCGCCCTCCTCCGTTTTATGGTAGATAGTCTCAATGTTCTTCATGGTCAGCATAGCCGACAGCGAAATGTCCAGCGACCACTTCATCTTGCGTATATTCACCCGCTTTGCATTGAAGTCAGTGGCCACTCGGTTGATGGCCGCATGTAGATCCCTACTCAGGGGTCGCATCATGCCAGACGGCCCGTCGTTGTCCATGAAAAAGAACCGAATCCCATTAACACTAATCGCCCTGTCTAGCGTCAGCTTAGGACCAGTTGGATCGCTCATGCACTTGAGCAGTAGCGGCAGATCCTTGGCGTAGCGAGTCATTGGAGCGATGGTGAAGAAGTCGCCCCACTTGGGGAAATCACTCGTCGGATGATGACCCCTAAAAGATACTGCGTACGGTGTGGGCTTATGGCCCCAAATGCCGCTGAACATGGCCGGCAGGCGAGAGGAGCCACCTATATCCGAGGTAAGCCCCAGCAGGGAGGCACCACTGGCCAGGAGTGCTGCCTCGCCTCCCGAGGATCCACCCGGAGTACGCTTCAGGTCATACGGATTCTTCGTTTGACCCGTCACGTTGTTGTACGTCTCCCACAGTAGGCAAAGCTCCGGTGTGTTGGAGACAAGCAGGATGATGCCACCAGAGCGCTTGATCTGCTCCACCACAGGCGCATCCGACTTGGCTATCTGTGGTGTCTTGAAGACACGCCCCGCCTGGTTTGTCATCCCCTTTACGGCGATGCTCTCCTTGACGGTCACCGGAATGCCAAGCAGAGGAGTTAGCTCCTCCATGGAATCGACGCTGTTAATGCCCATGGCTATCACGTTGTCTATCTCGCGAGCCTCCTCCAATGCCTCTTCGAAGCGATCCTGCACGATGGCATTTATCAGAGGATTCACCTGCAAGAAAATCAATTTAATTTGCATTTTAAATTTTAATTTTTGAAAATACAGTTCCTTTTATCATAAATACATAATTCAAAATTGTTTTGATCGGATAAAACACAGAATGAACATAAAAAATTCTAAATTATTTTTGATTATAATTAATAAAAACATTAAAGTCGTTGAAGTTTATATCGTTAAACTTTTTCACAAATATAAGAATATTCCTGATACATTAAATATTATCTTGCACATAAAATGTATTATTTTATTTATTATTTTATTTTGGTAACTGACAATCATTAAACTTTATAGCTTGGCTATAAAAAGTTTACGATTCAGTAGAATGAAACTTTTGGAAAATATCATGTAAGAATCAGGAATAATTTTATACAATGTTTGATGTGCTAATTACATTAATTTACCAGAAAGATTTAACAAGTTCTATGTTTTAGTAAGTGTGCTGAAAACTAGAACTCACCTGTCGACATCGTTCTATATAGGCTTCCACGACTTCTTCGCTTTTAATCTACAAGGAGAAAGCAAAGAATGTATTTGAATATTTCCGCAGGTTGCTCGGCATTCCTCCCCAGCTCACATTCCACTCGGATTCCCATAGCCATACCCGTACCCAAACCCATTCCCATTCCCAGCAATAAATTCAGAAGTCTATTGAGCCGCGGCCAGTGCCAGTGCCACAGCAAAAAAGCAATTTGTGTTAAATTAAAATCAATAAAAAGACAAACTCAAACGCAACTTGCAGTCGTGACGTTCATTTCATACGATGCATGCATTTTCGATCGGGAAAGCACATATCACGGTTCACATGACGTATGAGTAATGTTTGAATGTGGTATGAGGGTATAGAACTCTTTGGGTCTCAGTTCAAAGTGAGCTATTCATGAAATTGATTCATTCATCAATGGTTGAAAGAATGCTAAACAACATAAGCCAGTGCCATGTGTCGATTGATATTTCAATCAAGTGGCTTCAGGTTGATTTCCGTGTTGCTCTTCAATGCAGAATCTATTTGACATGAAGATATTTTTATGTATTGATCAAGCAACAATGTATCGATCTAATATGCATTAAGGAAATAAAATGATTTAAAGTTAAATAAACAGAGGCGTATTATGGTTTATGGTAATCTTATATCTTGAGTGGTTCGACAAAGTAAAGTGGGAATCAAAGCTAGAAAACAAGTTATCAGTTGAATGGGCAAACCAGAACAAAGAGATAACAACAAAGGATTGATAGATTATACAAAAATTACTTAAAAATCAAATTGAGTGGAAATAAAAAAGAACAATAAATAGCTGAGCCATAGGCTAAGGCACGTTTTGATCAATTAATTGCTTTCCATATTTATGTGTCACAATTAAGTCAGAAGGAAAGAATTTCTAGCAATAAAAACCAAATAGGCTGTCATGCAAAATTATATAATGAAATAATCTTATATAAAAGGTAACTCAAATCAAATTTGAATAACCAACAATAATAAAGCGATTAAAAGATCAGAACACGTAGTTGTGAAATAGATCTCTCATGAGTCACATATTATCCATGAAATTAGCAGTCAATAAACTAATAAATATAGTGAGAAACGCCACCATTATAATCACCCGTCAGCAGTATTTAGCAGTTGATACTATAATTAATGCCATTCTCACTCGTAGCTTTGATCCAAAGATCTAATTAATTAATTGATAGGGGTAGAACATATCAATCAAAGTGAATTACTGTATATATATGTACATATATTGTTAGAAGCAATCAGAAACCGAACTTGATTGCATTTAGGTATTTGTTACCGAACACCGAACCACAAGTTGCCATCGAGTCTAACCTCTGAACTTGATTTCAGTTAATCTGGGTAATCGGAGGCAGAAGGCCTTCCATTTAGTTGGTGCCTCTACTGCTACACCTTGGATTGAGTCACAAATTGCCTTACTTCGCCTTAATACAGGCTCATGCAACGCACAAATGATGCACTGTAGTATATAAAATCCAGTCGTATGTACTCGTACATACATCTTACCCTATGTATAATTAAAATTAAGGCTACTTGACTTTTTCAATGACTTCCAGTGCAATAATAAATCAGTGAGGGCTAAGAGGGGGGTTCCGACCAGGTAAACACACGGTGCAACAAGACAATAACATGCAACGGATAATGGGGATTCGAGGGCTTCCCCGGGGGGGTATACGAAATCAACGACCGAAAAGCTTTCGACTCCGATACCGATACCATCCAACGTTCAATGTTTACAATGTGGAAAAGATCTTGTGGCATACTCATACTTAGTATAAAGAAATCGCGACACACCGACACAGTTTCGAGTCGAGTATATATGCTTGGATATATATGTATATATGATGAATGTGAAGTACGTGCTAAAAAGACTCGACTGGCAGAGCAAAACAAACTGACGAAAAAACGAAACACGAATTATGCGATTCAAGTACAAATTTCACATGAGCAGATTTTAGATAGCTCATCATCTAGTACCGGTCTATGAAACGACGTCTTGTTAAAGAAACAAAAAAAAACCGCTCCTCCTACTCAAAAACATAAAACAAAGCTATCCTAATAAAGACCACTTAAAAAGAATTAGCATTGTCACTTTCTTAAATGCAGTTTCTGGTTTTGTTGAGACAACGATTATTATTATTTAATATTCAAGTCGATCAAGTAGATGCGGGTTCTGATATAATGCCCATTACAAAATCATTACGCTTGGCTCGTCGTGAGGCAATGCTTAACCTATGACAATGAAACAGCCGGCAATTAAAAGGGGAAAAAACATATAAAAAATCATAATTAAAATAATAATATTTAGCCATATAGTCATATACGCACCATATATGACTGTCTCATCGAAATAAGACAAAAGCCGTAAAAAGTTCCACTAAAAACTAAAACAACTTTTGTACTTCAGACGGACGTGCACTAAAAACTCAAACTGGCCAAGTGCATGCAGCAAATGCGATAAAACAAAGGCAGCCCACAGAGCCCACAAAATATGGTAACTGGAGGGCGAGTGGTGCTACGATAAGGTCTCTCTATCTCTCTCAAGTGGTGACCTCACACGATGTGGACCAACGAACGCAGAAATCTTGCACATCCCGTAGATTGTTTATGTTTATTTACAATGAAACAAAGACACAAACACATGTGTGAGGCGTGTAATTGATGGCAACAGCAGCCAAAAAAAAAAAAAAAATTAAAAAAGAAACCTGGGACTGGGGTTCGTATCTTAATGTGAATTTGAATGTGGATATGGATATGGATATGATATGGATACAGTCAGCGATTAAGCTTCGATAACTATACAGAGAGCCAGACGGAGGTCTGTCTAGGCCTTGTGTGGAATAATGCTTTGCGAAATTTCTGCTTGGATCATAAAAATGCTTGTTTAATGCTTTAGATGACTAACCCGCCGGTTTCTTCAATGCCTCGGAACTATATATCCCTCTGTTTTTGGGCCCAATTGGCTTAAGTGCTTGTGACGGCGGTAGAAATGGAAAAAAAACCCAAATTGATTTCGATTTCATCTGGCGTTAATACTCTGGCTAGGGTCGTATAATAATCATTGTTATGTTTCTCGGAGAGACGCATTAAAAACAGGAATATAATTATACCTAACCGTAGGCAAATTTCGTTATAGGAATTTTTTCTAAAATCTTCCAATCATTTAACTAAATTTATAATAACAAAATAAACAAGGTTTTTGTGGTTTCTGTTCTATACATCATCCATCAGCTGAGAATTTTTGAATGCTATGAACTTTACAAATTCAAAGTTCAAATTTTTCAACTAAGCTTATTAACCCCAAAAGTTTCGTTATGTATGGTCATGCTTACAAAACGGTCTTTAATGTGAGGCAATTATAATCTAATTATTACCTTAAAAAAATATTATATGATGATCTTTTATTACTCTTAAAATTAATAAAACTTAAAAAAAAAAACCTGAATTACATCTGTATTTATAAATTTAAGCATCTTTACAAGGAAACTGTAGTCATACATTTTCATTCACGAAAAATTAAAAAGTTCTAAGTTAACTATTTTTAAATTAATCTATCCTTTAAAAGAAATTTTGTATCAACATAACTGAAAAGTTTATTTCTCAAAGTAAATGTAAAAGAAAGAATCTTTGACTTTGAACTTCACTCTTACATAGTTCTTTACTTCTTCTTAAAACCATTAAATACGATTGTAAGGGTATTTAACCCTTTGGCTTTCTGTACAAGTCTTCTACTCTCGACCTTTTTTATGGCTTTCTTGTCTAATTGAAATGTTAGGGGCCAGTGCTCCGAGTCTTTTAAAGTGAAAAAAATGAAAACTAAAGTCATTATCTTTTATATGTTTTTACTTTCTGCCGAACTGGAGCCAAAGGTATCTCTTTTTTACCCGACACTTAAAGAGATGGTTGCAATCAATAGTAATGGCCAACTTTGCACACAAAAGTATCTAATAAATGTGGCAACAGAAACAGCTACTGTGGCAACGCTCTTTCCAATTGCTTTGGCAAGATTTCGACCAACCCAGGTTTACCAGGTTTCTTTGCGTAAGTGACCCAATTTGAAGAGTGGAGAAGTGAGCTTTTTTGGTTAAGGATTTGGGTAACTACTATTATTACTACTCACCTTTCTAGTGCGAATCAGTTTGGCCAGGTCGACGGCGGGTATCTCTAACAGGTGACTCCGGATGGGCGGCAGTTTGCGCCGTATCACCTTAATGTTGGTGTAACGGCTATAGGGAACGACGAACCAACTGAAGACAATCATGGCCGAGCGCAGGAATCGGCGCATGATATATCCCAGGATCCTGGAACAGAGTAGCACAGCAATTTTGACGGTTTTCTTTCAAAACACCACTCGATGGATGGAAAAAGATGTGCGTATATTTGGATATTGGATACGCTCCAGGTTGAAAATTCTACAGCACGGTAAACACACAGTAAACGGCACAGCAGCCAACCAGCAACAGGTTGCCAGGATTGTGCAATCCGCAATCGGCAATCCGCAGCTGACGACTGCAATCGACTTGGCTTTTTGGCTTGCACAATTTTTTCGGCACCGAGAGCTGAGTGCTCGACGAGATGCTTTTTGGTTTTCAGTTGGTCAGTTGGCTAATAGTCGAGTCTTTCGAGGCTTTCTTGACTGCATTGGCAACTAGTTGGCGCTATCTGCGGGATGCACTCGCGAATAACTCGAGTTGGGGCCGAGCTGCCGACGCATGCGCAGCCTTTTGGCCGGCTTTCATTTTGTTGCACTCAAAAAACACTGGCTATCTGCATCTGAATCCGTATCGGCATCGGTATCTCAGAATCGCTTTCGGTTTCTGTGTCTATATATATGTATAAATATCTAGTAGAAGCACGAGCCGAACCGACGCGAACGAGACGAGCTGAGTAAATAAACGCTGGCCAAGCTTGCCACAGAGTATTTAAAGCCCGACTCTCCGATCTCTCGATAACTCACATGCTCTAAACTGGTTCTCTTTGGCTCTCTTAAGATCCGCTTCATATTTTTAATAACAATTGTGATTCCCATCTGGCCCAAAGGAAATGGCCATAAGTCGAGCAAGTGCGTCATGGCATAGATCAACAATTACATGGTCTGAACTCTTGATCTCAAGTGATTAAAATTGAATTCGAAACCCGGAATGCTATCGCCTTGTTTACCCCTGCGAACAAAGAAAGGAATCCTATCGTTAATTACACACATCGGCGAGAGCAAATGGGCTATGGTTTTAGCTTTCTGAACGTATCGACGACTTTAAGCTATGTATGTATATATGTTGACCCCACTGGTTCAGAACAACCTGAAATCATCGTACACAGAATTTGCAACGTCATTCTGAATACAAATATTGATTTCACGTGTCGAGATTTCCGGGGGAAAAGCCATCGCTTGAAAATCACTTCCAAGGAACTAGAACCTTGAACTTATTTTTATACCTTGGTTACAAGTAAGTGACTAGCCAGGGAACAGGTATTATCTAAAATTAGCTAGAACTTTACACAAGAGAAAATTATTTCGAGGCCATGATGTATAAGGATTTAATGTTTAAGTCGGCTTTTAGATACAATTAAGGTGCTATAGTTTATGAAAAGCGAAAGTTATGTATTTTGTAGCTGTCTCTTGAGCATATATAACCAACGATTTTCATAGGATAATAATAATATATTCCAATGATGTACTTTTCCAGTGATCTTAGTAGTTCTTGTTAATCTTATTATCACGTGTTAAGTTACTTAATTCAAAGTCAAATTTTAGAGCCCTATAATATCAGCATAAATATGAATAAAATTATTTTTCTGTGCATAAATCGCCTGCGCGTGGATGAACCAGTTGTGTCCACTAATTAAGATCACTAAACTTAGTATTTACAGATCACTGATCTGTCTGACACTTATGGTGAGCATTCAGGCGTAAGTTATCCAGCCACGACATTCAAATTACTTTATAATTGTACTGGTCATTAGGAAATAATTGCCCCATATTAGGCTTTTGGCCTGTCAATTTTTCAAGAAATACTAAACGCGCATTTTGTTAGTATAAATGCCTTAAAGCCCGATCGCTTAGCCCAAGATCACGCTATCCAAGATGTCAGCAAGGTGATATAATCGGAGTACAGAACAAAACAAAAGACAGCGATAATAACTCGTCTTGAACTGAATTTAATGATATGGCATCGGGGATGACTAACCTCTTATTATCTTGTGGTCAGCAGAGGCACTAGACCCACTTGAATCTGAAAGGATTCATGACATTCTCCTGGGAGGAAATTCCCCAAGGTGAATGCAAGAGAGAGAGAGAGTTACATACGTTTTCGGGGGTCTGAAGTTTTGTTTATCTCAGTTTTTAAGATAGTTAAAAAGCTTCCACTCTTAGGTGTGTTTTAAGAGAACGCCGAAAGAGATAAGACAACGAGCTTCTTGTGACTTTTGGATGGAGAAGCACTTTCAGTGACGATAAAAGTGGCCGCGGATCAAGTTGGGCCGCAAAACTTTCCATACACATCATATAATAGACAACAGATTAGTTGACCCACAAGTAACAACAAATAGAACCATGCTGTCACAGAATTTGCGACTCGTCCGGGCATTTGTTAATTATGGAGTTTGCCGCCAGAGCTTGAGAAACTTTGCAGCCGCTGGAGATAAAAACAAAGGCCACGATAATGACAGCGATGTGGACGAGCGACACCCACTGCATGGTATCCGGATTTTGGACTTATCTCGAATTATTGCCGGTCCGTATTGCACCATGGTTCTAGCGGATCTCGGAGCGGAGGTTATCAAGGTAGAGCGTCCGCATTTTGGTGACGAAGCCCGGAAGTGGGGACCACCCTTCCTAAAGGAGAGTAAAGATGCCGCCTATTTCCTAGCTCCTAATCGCAACAAACGAAGCATCTGCATCGATATCAAACGAGGTAAAAAACTGCTTTATCAGCTGGCCGAGATCAGCGATGTGTTGGTCGAGAACTATGTGCCTGGAACATTGGAGCGCTATGGCTTAGGCTACGAACAGTTGCGTAAGGTGAACCCGAAACTAATCTATTGTTCTATGACGGGTTACGGCTCTGTGGGACCTTATGCCAAGCGACCAGGCTATGATGTGATTGCCTCTTCTGTGGGTGGACTGATGCACATCACCGGCGAGCGCGATGGACCGCCTAGCAAGGTGGGCGTGGCGGTAACAGACATGTCCACCGGGCTCTATGCCCATGGAGCTATTTTGGCAGCTCTCTATCAACGGACCCGCACTCAACATGGTCAGAAGATCGAAGTTGATCTGCTGTCCACATGCTGCTCCCTATTGCTTAATGTGGGCAGTAACTATCTAAACGCAGGAGTTGAAGCTGGGAGAATGGGAACTGCTCACTCTAGTATAGTTCCATACCAGAGCTTTAAGACTAAAGATGGTTATCTCACTGTGGGAACTGGCAGTGATGCTCAGTTTGAGGATCTGTGTCGTCGCTTAAAAGTGGATCATTTGCCACAGGATCCAAAGTTTAAGACCAACAAGGATCGTGTTCAAAATCGAGTGGAGCTAATAAGAATCTTGGAAGAAATGCTGTCTGAGGACACCTCTCGCAACTGGATGAAGCTCTTTGATGGCGCCTCCTTTCCCGTCGGACCTGTAAACTCCATTCCCGAGGTTTTCGAGGACGAACACATCAAGGCCATTGGCCTGGTAAAAAGCCTAAGGCATCCGAAAGACGGTTCTGTTAAGGTTGTTGGCCCGCCTGTCGTTTTTAGTGAAGCACGGAACGATGCCCGGACTGCTCCTCCGACTCTGGGTCAGCATACTGATCAAGTTCTGGGTGAGCTATTGGGCTATGGACTGGAAGAGCTGGCCAAACTGAAGAAAGATAATATTATTCAGTGACCAAGAGGAACTTTATAAAGATATTTATTAGTCTTAAAATCCAGTGTTACTTTCACTGATAGACAAGCATTTACAATAAAAACTTATATTAAATTTACAGAAACATAAACGAAATTATTTATAAGGTATAAAATTAATTGAAAATATACCAAATATATCCCACTTTAACTGCAAATATATGTTATTTTCTGACTATTGATTTTTACTGGATATTATAAGTCAGTAATGAGATTTGCTAAAAACTCGTTAAAACTTCAATGTTAGGTCAAAAGACTATAATAAAGAAAACTACTATAGAGAAGCCAAACTTACTTTCCGTCTAATCAGTTCTGTGTCGTAAACATGTACAAATTACCTATGGCTGATTTTTACTAACCTAAGGCACAAGGTATATATTATATTAACAAGCTTTAAAAATATGGATGGGAAAATTATTTTTATTATTTCCTGGTTATTGGAAAATAAACTGACAGCACTCAAAACTTTAATTAAAAACATGTTCGTTAAATATCGTCAATTAATAATCCACAAACACGAAATCACTACAAAGATCGAAAATATGCTAAATTGTTCCGATATTTCCTATGTAAGACTGTTACATAGTTTACTAGTAAGTTGCAAACGGGTTTCTAGCTTGATCTACGAAATTATTAAATTAGGCGGTTAGTGAACTTTGTATCAATAACCTTTGAACTGATAGAGCAATGGACTTTAATCTGTCGAGATGTACTGAGTTAAGATATTCTTTTCTTAGATCAATTATTGTGCAATACCAAAATAATTTTAAATTTGAATATATATTATTTAACAAAAGAAAGAATACGACAGGCAACTTCTATTGATAAGCTTAACAGACTTTTCTATATACAACAGATGAACTTGAAATATTAGTTTAAGATGAAATTAGAAATGGATATCTTGTCCAGGGTAATTGCCACATCTTAATTTCATATATCAGATCATTAGAATATATAAGATTGTTTATTTAACTACAAATTAGAGAAGGTAGTAAACATAGACCTTGTTGTTCTACAAACTGAAGTAAATAAAACTCAAATGGACAAGTGCCTGACATGCCGGTAAGCCGGGTTGGAACTTTCCTAGATACATTTAGATTCCTACCCTTTTGATCAACTGATCATCCTCATTGATCCCGCAGCCGTCCACCAAAAACATTCCATGGCGGCAGCGAACGCTACGACAAAAGGTTCTAATTGTGATCTTCTACGGAGCAATTTTGATCCTTGTATTAAATTTGGCCGGCTGGCTAGCCTATCTGTGTGTTTTCCGGCAGGCCAAACATTATCGCAGCAGTAAAAATGATTGGGACAAGGTCACCGGCGGTTCGCTTACCTGAGCCACAGCTCCTCCAGGTGTAAACGGACGACGGTCAATATCGATTTTAGCACTGCCAAAAAGGGAGGAGGAGGAGGATTGAGGGCAGGTGGCAAAACAATAGGAGGGAAAGCAACTCACTCGCTAATGAACGAAAAAATATATAGTATACGTATGTATGTACTATATCCAAAGGCGCGTCCGCACGCCAAGAACCCAAAACTAAAACTGAAACTACAACTGAAATTGCAGGTGCTGTCCAAAATGGAATAACAACAATAATGTGCTGCCGGCGTCGACGTCAATAACAGATTGTTTGCTTTTTGCAGTGTTGTTGTTGGCGTTGCTGTTTGTGTGCGCAAAGTGCATAGACCGCATCCGAGTCTTAGCCTCTAGTTTGGCCCCAAAGTAATCCCCCAATCCCGGGCCCTCTTGTGACGCGGGTGTTGATTTCGCACTTAATGGGTTGAGCTGGGCATGTGGAGAGAATTTAGTTGGAGGCGCAGTGGCTTGTCAATTAACAGTTATTTTGTTGCTCTCCCTTCGACTTGCAAGTGTGACCAGAACGGTGCGTGAAAGTGAAGTTTGTGGTCATTCAATACAGATTTTTAAATGTATTTATTTCTTCCAAAAATTTTACTTTAAAATTATAAATTCTATATCTTCCCTTTTATATGTATCTCCCTAATCCTATACAATAGTGATGTGAAAACTTTCTTGATTCATAATAATGATTATTTTTAAATATAACTTAAAAACATATAACGTTCACTAGCCTTACACAAAACTAATATCCCCCATAAAAGAATATACCACAGTGTAATGTCATTGATCCATTCCAACCACCTCCACCACAAATGTTATCTAAACAAGCAACCGCAACTAATGACAGATGCTTATCTGCTAAAACAAGCCGAGTGCCAAACAAAGATTCAAAAGACTTACAGTTTCCCATTATTATCCCGATACTTTAGACTTTGACCTTCACATTGCTGGGTAAAACAAAAACTTGATTTAAATCGGGCGGCATTTTGCCGCTCCCATTTTCAGTTTAGTATTTTCCGTAGGTAAGATTAAATACTTACACCAATGCGGTCACATCATCCATGTTGTATTTGATAGTTGTTAAATAATAATTATTTCGTTTTAAGCTCTTTATAAATATGTCCAAGCAACCCTCCTTTGTATCCCGTAATCTGGTGGCTATCGTGATGATCCCTAGTCTGGTGGGAATCCATCTGGGCTGGAGCTACATGCAAAACAACAGGAAACTGGTCACGGAGGCAGAACAGATCGACTTGCCGCCGGTTACTGTAAGTTCATCCTCATTAGTGGATGATACCCACAAGACATGAGCTTCTTTTTCTCTAGTTTGCCAAGTTTGTGTGGAACAAAGTGACGGGAGGAGGGACTTCGGCAGAGTGACAATCCGTTTTTGTGATGACCTTAAGAAATACAATCTATTTATTGTATAGAATAATTAAAACTACATACAAACGGTATGGTACAATCAGTTGCTGGCCGACCGAAACAAGCTGGCCAGACTGGAGGTTGGGACAAAGACAGAATGAAGTGATAAAGCCACAGACTACATAAACTTATCCTAGGGACGTTGGAGATTACTGCGTGAGGGCCGAGTTTACAGTGAGGTTGTCCAGCTGAGCATTGAATAAAACATCGCTGATCAGCTTCTCGGCCACGATTCGCTGTGTGGGATTAATGGCGCGCAGTTTGCTGGCCACATTCACACCAATTGCATCGTACTCATCGTCGGCCCGATGCGAAGTGCTCGGAGCAGCAGTGGTGTAGGCAGTGGTGCCGGCATTGCCAAATAAAGGCTGGTAGTGATCTCGTCCTATTTGTATGGTGGGTACACCCTGATGTTGACCATTGGCCTGCTGAAGGTGCAGCTGCTGCTGGTGGTGCTCTAAATGGTTGACCGCCTGGATCGGAAAAGTATATTTTTTTAAGACATTTTGGAAATCGGCATTTTTCGGGGTTACCTACTTGTTGTATCTCTCGTTGGGAGTTGGAATCCAGGGAGGTTATCTCTAAGACCTTCACGGCATGCCCCTGGGCAGCCGCCGCCGCTATAGAAGTCTGTGCCGCTGCATGGGCCACCAGTTGCTGGTGCGCTTGAGCTGCTGCCGCCGCCTCGGCCGCCTGGTGCTCCTCGCTCTTAACAAGGGTTACACATTCAGCAGGCGTCACCGAAATGGTACTTAGGGTGGCACCTTGACTGCTGACTACCACATTGCTTGCCGTGGCCGCTACCTCTTCCACTTCGTCCGGGGATGTGGGCATAATGGACTCCATGTGCTGTGACTGGGTACCGGTGTGATGTGACTCGTCCTCAAACTCCATGGACTCTTCGTCGTCGAAGCTGATCTGGAGTTCTCTTTTGGGTTTCGTTCCAAGTTCGTGGCGCTTGGGTTTATGATCGGCAATAAAGAGCAGCTTGTCGTAGTACCACAAACGGGTTTCGTAGTCGTTTTTACTGGTCGTCTTGCGGAATTCCCGCCGAAATGCAGAGCGTAGAGAGTTGATTTTCCTGAACGGGTAAAATGTAGTTAGAACTCAACGAATTATTGCAAAAGAAACTCCTACCTTACTACCATCGCCCTGTCCGGATTGGGCTCCACTTCTTTCAGTTTTTCTACCAGGCGGTCGTAGGACTTGTTACGGGCTGCGTGATTGCTATAGTCGTTGTGTTTTGGCTGCCACAGACACTCTTCCTCCTGGTACTGCTCGATGAACTCTGTGAGCCAATGGCGAGAGTATGATCGCAGGTCTACGTTCATGGTCCTTTTAACGCGCTTTTATTTGGGTTTCCTCAATTATTTTCGGTTTTTGTTTTTGGTGCGTCTTGCGTGAAGTTGGCTGCGCCAGGTAGGCATGTAGTTGCCGGACCGAGAACTATCAGCAAGAGGGTTATCGATGTAAATATTTTTAAAACAAATTTTTTAAACTTAAATTAGTTAAAAAATATTTATTTTTTAACGAACTTGTTCTGCTTACAAACTCAGTATTTGTATTAAAACAATTTTAAATATTTTCTAAGCTCATTGGATATACATAAAACAGGTTGCGTGAATGTATAGAAAGATAGTCGATAATTAACTGCTGAAATGGAGGTCTAAGTTAATTAAATTTAAAATATTATTGGTTATAAATTGGTGATTCGGTCAATGAATTTTGGGCAAGCCCAATAATTTCTTTATTATAACGATAATTATCTAGATTTATTTCGTTTCCATTTGTTTAGACTTTTTAGGCTTGAACCACTGTGCGACCGTTAAATTGTTTTCTGCTTTGGCCTTACCTTAGCGCAGACTTAAACCGGCCGAAGTCTGGCAATGCCATTGGTCTGGCAAGACAGTTGAATGGTTCTCGATGTTTTTGTCAATTGCTCTTTGGAGCTTCCCAGGCGGAGTCGAAAATCGCGCGGAAAATGTTCATTAACAAAGAGAAGGCGGCCAAAATTGTGAAATAAGTTAACTAGCGGTACAGTGAAAAAGCAGCTGAGTTTTTGATAGTGAATATAAGTACGAAAAACTCCAACTGTTCAGTCCTGTTGTTGTTATTGCTGCCAAGGCCGAAGGAGCGAAAGAGAGAGGCCGAGAAGAAAAAGAATCTGTGCTAACAAAAACAAAGGTGCGTGTAAGCCCCAAAAACACACACACATATATATTTATTTTCATATATGTATGTATATAATTTGTTGTTCTCGTTATGCCCAATTATATAAGGTGTCCGTGTGTGAGTGTGTTTTGGATGTTGCAAGTGTTTAATCGGTGTAAACAAGGGAGCTAATTACTGAATTGCAAGAAGATTGGTACATAATAACCCATAATAACAGCTGTTTTCTTCCTTCTTCCCCCAACTATTCCCCAATCGGAATTAAGTCACGTAGTTGGATTCTTATAAGACTCCAAGCTTTGTAAACAAAAACAAAAAAAAGGCACTTCGAATCGAATTAATTTTCAAGTAATTAAATTGGCCAGGAAATAGCATATGTGCAAGTGTAATTTGTTTGCTATTTGCATAAATTTTCATTCGCCCAGTTGTTTTTCAAGGGGTACAAAGTCCAGTTTCGAAGACGTTGTAGCTGCTTTACTATCTGCCTCCAAACAACCCCCCACTCCCTTCGATAATCTCTTTGCTATTTATAGCAAACCATTTCCAATGCTAGAACAGAAATGAAAAACACTAGCTGGATAAACTGGATCCGTAGTAAACCTCAACCTTGATTGAGTGCAAAACGCAGAGAAAAAAGTGCACAAACACCGCCTAACGAGCTTGTTTACGTTTATCAAGCGCCGGCAACAGCAGCATCCAGTGCACAGTGGTTGATAAACGCTTTCCACAGTTCAAATTCCTTATCAAAATGTAGTTTATGGGTCATTAAATCATAGTTAAGCCGCAGACCACAAGGTGGAGTGTTTGTAAAACTACATTTTGGCTTAATTTTTAAGATAATAGAACAGTATTCTAAAAGTACAGTGAAAGCTTTTAGTAAGCATAATTGAAATTTTTAAAAATATATATTCCTTGAAATTTAAACCGTATATTTAATGGCAATCAGTCAACTAGACCAAACGACAATACATTTTCATTTATTTTTCTGGCATGTAGCATTGGTAAAATCTATAAATAAATAAAACCTATTTTCTAGCTTAGCTAAAATGATGTTTGGAAATTGCATTTTTGAAAGAATTCGGCACGATTTGTTAATTTTTTTTTACTTTTTTGAGAATTATTATTCGTATTCCTCTAAAGTTGTGAAAGTATAAAAAGGCACTTAAATTCTATCAAATTAATAAATTTATAATTATAAAAAAAAAAAAATTAAAATTAATCCAACCGAAGTTATTACAAATATGATTGGAAAATGAATATTTTTGGTTTCTACCATTAACTATGTGAATGTTAAACTGAGACTTCAATTTAAAAGTAAACGCAATATTTAAAGTTAATAATTGTGAGCTATCAACAGTAGCAACATTTATTTGTAATTATTGGCTTTAGGTTTATTTCACATTATAGATTTATTGAATATAAAAAATCAAGTTTTAAACAGGTCAGCAGATTAATAGAACAGAATGTGCATAAGTTATTATGTTTTATATTTCCGCTAAAACCATTATTGACTGTACATACAAGTATACGAATCTGTCTATAGACACCACAACCTCGTTCAAGGCTGCAGTTTTCTATTCGTTTTCTATTGCGTTAATGAACGCATTACCCTCACTCTCAAACGGTTTCCTGCAACGGCTGCTCAATGAAAAGCGTTTAAATTTAGCCACGCTCAGCTGCTAAACTTGGAAAAGTGCCCACCCCCTAGAAGCACTCACTGCCCCCCTATAAAACTAAATAGAACCCCCTTAACACACGTGTTAAAGTCCACGCATTTCGCGACCTGAGTTAGCATTTGAATATTCGGCATGATAATTGTTTTGGAGGTGTGTGCCACACATTGACAGGTATATACTATATATACCTAGTTTACTGATAATTCGGTACTGTTTGCTTTTTATAATGAGAAAACGTAAGCAACCGGTTTGGCGGTCTCGTTTAGCATTTGGTGGCGAACAAACAAAAAGAGCGAGCGGGCCGATCGATCTCTTCTGGAACACTCCTTCTATCTATTGTAAGACGCAATTAGCAGCTGGGCAAAATCTTATCAATTCCGGCTGATTAACCCAGAGAACTTGATAATCGCGGTGACCAAGTTTCGCACTCCAGGAGCAGAAATGACTTGGCTTGTGGCCCAAACAAAGTTCAATTGCCGAGTTCTAGTGGGCCAGGCCAGATAGCTTGGTTATTTTGGTTAATATTATTGGTACGCAGGCTTTTAAAAGCATTATTTAGAACATATTTTTTTGAATCTATGCCAAGGGAGAAATGCTTTTGTCAATTACGAAACGATTTTGAGAGATGAAAACTTGCATGAACTTGCGAAATGTGTGTTTTTGCCATCTACGAGCTGTGATCCATAAATACACCTGTATTAAAATAAATAATATCATCGAAAATATTTACTTTTCGCAATTCAATATCATTTGAGTATTGTTGTTTTTAATCAATGGCAGCACAAATCACTTTCCACTGAATTCCAAAAGTGGTTTTATTGTCGTGGAACTGATAACACATCAAAAAGTTATCAGGAAATTGCAACTGAGCTATATACTAACAAGTTTATAAACTATAAACTACTATATAAGCATTCTTCTTGCCAAATAAAATAATTTGCTAATAATTCTCAATGGATTTTTTTTTAGTAATTTTCCCTGCAATAGGTGATAATTTGACGAGTTTTCGTTTGCTGAGTTAAATGAGCTTACTAAAATCTGTCAATGAATGGCTTTTAGGAGGATTTACGAAATATATTTATTTGGCATTGTACACTATTAATTTGACCACAGCTGTTTATGCTCGGCCAAATAGCAAATTATGTCTCTGCTGGGAAGTCTTATAAAAGCGAAGCAATTTTAGGATAGATTGTTATAGATTAGTTTTGGCCATATTGAGCTGTTATCAGTTGTTTTGATAAGCCTCTACTTTTATGGGCCAATATACATATATTTGACTCGGATTGATATGCAAATTGATTTCAGGTTCCAGCCAGAGTCTGCGATGAGCCGTCTCCTGGAGAAGCCTAACATCGCCATGTCCATTAAGTCCACGGGTAGTCAGCTCTCGAGCACGATGACCACGGCCTCGACGACGTCGCCATCGGACTTAGAGGATGCGGACACATCCCGCACCCAACTAAAGGCATTCGAAACATCAGGAGTAGCCATCACACCCGCCACAACAGTAAGCCCCAGCGTCAAATTGACACCAAGTAAGTAAAGCTTAAAGAAATGCATTAAAGGAACTTTTTCTTATTAAAAGTTTCTTAAAAAATTGAAATTTTTAAAGTCAAAGTAGGCACTTTCATAAACTTAAGACCATTCCGAAAGAAAAAAAACTGGTAAATTTTTGTATTATTAAAATTAATATTGGAATGCAAACTACAAACTACTATTAGATACAAGGTCCAGCCATGAAGTTAGATAGAAGACTTCTAGATGAATGTCTTTGCCGTTATTGATCTATAGCATTGACGCACATATTGGTATAAAATATAGTTATTTAAAAATTCGTTTAACGTATCTTCTTGTGTCCTTTCAGTGCGTCAGAAGATCGACCAGGTGGTAATCAGCCTGATATCCGGAGCAGCGGCGGGGGCGTTGGCCAAGACGGTCATCGCCCCGCTGGACCGCACCAAGATTAACTTCCAGATCCGTAACGATATTCCGTTTTCGTTCCGCGCCTCGCTGCGCTACCTGCAAAACACCTATGCCAACGAGGGCGTCTTGGCGCTGTGGCGGGGGAACTCAGCGACGATGGCCAGGATCGTTCCGTACGCGGCCATTCAGTTCACGGCCCATGAGCAGTGGCGTCGCATCCTGCATGTGGACAAGGATGGTTCAAAGTGAGTTGTATTTTTCTGTAATTAGTATATGTATATAAATGCTGACCATCCTTTTTCTCTTTTAGCACCAAAGGTCGTCGGTTTTTGGCTGGTTCTCTGGCAGGAATCACTTCTCAGTCACTGACGTACCCCCTGGACTTGGCCCGCGCCCGAATGGCGGTCACAGATCGGTATACGGGTTACCGGACCTTGCGACAGGTCTTCACCAAGATCTGGGTGGAGGAGGGTCCGCGTACGTTATTCCGTGGCTATTGGGCGACGGTTCTCGGCGTGATTCCCTATGCTGGTACATCATTCTTCACCTACGAGACTCTTAAGCGGGAGTATTATGGTAAGAATAATATTTTTAAGCAATTTATACCTATCTTTGTAGGTTTCCATACTTTGTACTGCAGTCTTTTCTAGTATAAGCATATATATTAGTTTCTGATTAAAACCTAGACCGAATGCTAAACTTTCTATTTTAAATTGTTTATTAATAATCTTGATTCCCATTTACATAACTAGAGATGACATGTGTTGGTTTTTTTTTTTTTTTACTCTGAATGCCTTTTCGAGGGGTGTGCACAATATTATATAGTTTTAAAATGTTTAATTTACGTAACACCGGACAAGCTCTACAAATTAAATTATTCATCGTTTTAAATTATATAAGATACTTTTCTTTTATAATGATTCATTGTTTATACATGTATATCGAACCACCTTAATAATTATACAAGTGTTAAGTGAATTTATACTAATATACTTTTATGATTACTTGTAGAAAGGGTCGGCAGCAACAAGAGCAATACTCTAGTCTCGTTAGTTTTCGGGGCTGCGGCCGGTGCCGCTGGACAAACGGCCAGCTATCCTTTGGACATTGTAAGGCGAAGAATGCAGACGATGCGGGTGAATACGTCAATGGGAGATCGGTACCCAACCATCCTGGAGACCCTCGTAAAGATTTACAGGTGCGCGGTCATTTGTCTAAGGACTTTTTTAGATTTATAATTAACTTTTTAATGTTCTTACAGAGAGGAGGGAATCAAGAATGGCTTCTACAAGGGTCTAAGCATGAATTGGATCAAAGGTCCCATCGCCGTTGGCATCAGTTTCTCCACCTACGATCTAATCAAGTCGTGGCTTACAGAGGTGTCCAACCTAAGACGATCTGAAAAGTAGCCCCAACCACCTTTTACCCATAAACACCACACCAAAAACGCACTGCTTTGTTCTTAAGTCTCGTGATCGATATGGATATCTCGAGGGGATTGAAGTGCAGCACCGACATGCTCTAATTGTTAGATATTTTTAGATGTTAGTTGTGAGGGAGAAGAGATAAGAAGACACCCGAAAGCGCTTAAATTTGTTATTAAACCATAATTGATTTATTATCGCCATAAGCCGAAAGTATTTCAGCCAATAAACTGTCTGAATAATGACTCGCCTGGCACCTACTACTACTACCCAGGACCAACCTCCAGGGTTCAGCTCGTACTCTATGGTGTTGCTTGGACAATAATTTAACTCTTTTACTCCTAGACTAATGATAATGATTTATCCTTAAGCTTTTGTATAATGTGTAATTCCACCTCGATGTCAATGCGCTGCGACTGTAATAATTGCCATGAATTTAAGGGTGTTCACCAGCGAAATCATCTTATGCATATACTATGTAATTCTTGTATGTTAGTGTGTTTTTTATTACTAAATTTACAAAAATTGTTTAAACGCTGTGTTTTTCATAAATGGTTTCAAGTATTGGCGCCAAATGAAGTGCGATATGGCAACTCCAGCGATTAAACGATTACATATTTGCGGGGTGCTGTCTATCGAAATCTCTATTGGTTAGTCGCGTTCGCAAAAATTTCGAGTACGCAAAAAGAAAAACAATTTCTTTTAAATGTGTTTAAATAGTGATATAGTCTAGTTGAATTTGTAATTAAAGGGATAAACAGCCGCGTGCTGCGTGCTGTTGTTTTTTTTTATGAAAAAAGGGTTGTTTCCGCATCACCTGCTATTGCCGTAAAAGCCATAACCAAAAACCCAATCTGAAAGGTGAGTGCTAGCCCGAAAGTAGAAAAAATTAATTATTTAAAGCCTATTGATTTGACGGGGCCCATCCTTAAACCACCCCCCTCCAACAAATTGCTTGCTCTTCGCTCATAAGTGGGCGGCATTCCCATGGTCGCTTGTTGCTGCGCACAACAGGTGAAATCGAAGGACTTTCTGTTTATGTGTAGAATACACACAAGTAGGAGAAAAATATCATGAGTTTTACTTTTACGAGCCTTGAGTAACCTTGAAATTTGGTGGACAAATCAATTAAATGCAATTAATTTCCCTATCATACATATGTACATATGTGCAATGTGTGTGGGAGTTCTTGTCTGTGTATGTTACAATCAACATGCGCACTTTCATTTCGCGGCGCCACAATAATAGAAACAAAACGGGTGTAAACCCCCCATTTAATAAATATTTCTTTATTGTTATTCGCATTGTAAATTGTTTGTTTATTATTATTGGCCTACATTGCTGTTAAGTTAACAGTGTTCAATCGGTTTAAGTCTGTGCTATCCGATTTCTTAATCTGTCGTTGGTAATTTAAAGTACATTTAGAAACAAATATGGATAAATTTTAACTAAAATTATAGATAACAATTTTTCCAAAGTTATAAATTTTATAAGCCAATTTTAAATTGGAAATGAAAGTCTAATTTCTAAATAAAATAAATAGATGAAGTATTAAGTAAATATAGCATATTAAGATGTTATTGGCGTATAGCTAGGCTTCTTATTAAAATGTACTACATGCAATCATAAAATCCAATAATTAAAAATTAAAATAAGAATAGCATCCCTGGTTATTTAAAAACGTAATCGATTGCCAAAAATCCGATTTATTCGTAATGGTTTAATATATCGATACGCCATCTCATAGATATCGTTCTTCCTTGCGGCTCTAGAAACGCGTCAGTCGTTTTTTAGCCACTCGAAGCAATTGTTCAAAAGCGGACCGAATTTCAAGTGCGCAACTGGTTGAATTTGTTTAGCAAGTGCACTTTTATTTCGAGGATTCGCTTTGAAGATATACTTTCTGCTTTTGTTAGGACTCAGTATTTCTTTTAATTTCAAGTGCGTGTGCGGTTGTGCGTGTGTAATCCATCTCTCTCGCACTGAGCGTGTATATGTGTGCGTGAGGCGAGCGCGTTTTAAAAATAAAACGGCAAATACATAATAAAAAAATATCGAAGAGCAACAGCGGCAGGCGTACCAATACAAACAGACCGATACCAACCAGCCGTGTGTGTTTACACAGTGTTGTGCGCTGGTGTTTGTGTACCAAAGGTAAATAGAAAATAGGAAAAAAAAAGAGCAAAAAGGGGGGAAATATATATGTGTGGGTGGGAGGACTCCACTGCATTTGTGCACTGCGCAAAAAGAGTGGGTGGCTCTTTATATAGGTTTGGGTGGGTTAGTGGGTGGTCCTGTAAGACCTTCGTGAAGGTTCTTTGCATTTTAGCCACGAAATCAATGCACCATCGTCATGTGTTTCCACTTGAGGCTTTATTTATACACCAACTTACCATGCGCACACATGTGTGTGTGTGTTTCACGCTCCTGTTTCTCATTCTTCTTCTTCGGCGTTCATTGTTGTTTCCTGGAAAGCCCATAAAAACAAAGGCAACAAGAATTTCGAGTGCAATAGCACAAATGGCAGCAACAACAACAACGCTGATATCGAGTATATTAGCTGTTGCCCATTTCCCCGTCCCGTTCGCGCGGGTGCACTGGGAAAAACAAATTGAATGAACGCCTTGCCTCGCTTTTCTTGTTCATGTCCATGTAAACTTTTGAATGTATTCATTTGCCATATTAAGAATATATAATCTGATCCCAAAACTGTCATTTAAAATCAACATCCCAAACGTACTTTAGAAATAAAACTACCAATTAAAGTTATCAATTTGATCAATTGGTATCAGTTTTTTCTCTGTGTCTGTCCCTATCATTCTCATATTCACATGCTACTCTTGCTTTCATACGTCGCCGACTTCTGCGCGCTCAACACTTTTATCTTGCTCGTTGTCGTCGGTCGTTCCCGGCCCCTCCTCTGACTCGTCTGTCTCTACAACCTGACTTCTTGGCCTGGCTATAACCCGGCTGGCTCTTACCACTTCGGACAAATTACGATTGTCAGCGTCGCCAACGTTAGTTAACCCCTTGGCGTTTCACATTTGATAAACCAGATAGCCGTAGGCACAGAAGATTGATATTGGTCATAGTCTAGCCTCTAATCGATGGCTAAGTCGAATGGGGATTTGTGGTAGTTGTCAATAAGTTTTTTTTTTTTTTCATGTATACTACTAACTTACGCTTTTATTAAAAAATAAAATGGAAATGTCTTTTTTCTTTCTATTTAAAGAATAGAATATAGATATAATATAGACTAGACACACATGATAGATTATTAACTATATCATTAAAGTTTAGTGTTTTTATATGAAACTATGATGTGATGTATATTTAAATCAATATTTTAACTAATTAATATCAGATTTTATTATTTTTGCTTTCTTCTATAATTTCTAAGATTTAAGTCTTCTCCAACAATTTTTTTTAAATATATTTTTTTAAACCATAGAATAGAATAATTTTCTAAATTTAATTGCTTCGTCTGGCCTTCGATGTGGGTTGCGAATTAATACGCGTCAAATGTGAACATATGGAGAAAAGTTTATCGCCATAAATCCAATCCACATGTGTTTAAAGTTATTTCTGGACCTCAGATATGCGTAGTGCTAATTATTATGCGATTATGCGAATCACTATACTCGAGCGTAAGTGGAGTTCTGCTCCTTATCGGCGACTTTACTTATTTACTTTGTTACATTGACACCTCGTTATCAATGTCGCTTATTGCGTTGCATTTAATCGCTGGTGCAGACGTAAATGGAGCATTCTCAAGTCCCTCTGTATAGATTGGGTGCCTACTGTACTTACAATTATAATAGACGCTTATCGGTCGCTTTATGCTATTTTAGAGACACTCGCCTTCAATTCTGACGTTGACAGAAAGCGAAAATGCCTGGAAAACTTCAAATAAATATAATTGTTTCGCTCGTCATGTCTTATTTAGGTGACAAATTCTGTAATTTGTAATGGGGCTTTATCTTTTAAAACTGCGTTTTATTTTGTACAACTCAGTCAAACTAAAACGGTATCAGTATATAATGTTGCCTTTCGAAAAGTATATTTTTGATTAGCTTACCCAATCATAGAAATAATTATAAAGATTTTATGACTTAAAAAACTTTAAATTTTCCAAATTCTTGAAAAAGTTATATAAAAAAAATTAAAAATAATTAAATGTTACGATGCAAAGTCAACATATTAGAAGATTTGTTCTTGAAGAAGATCCATCCCTGAAAATTATAATGCAAAAAAAAATAAGTAAAGCTATATTAAGGCAATAAGTATATTTTGATAACCTGCTTGATCTCAGACAAGCAAATATGTTTTGAGCTATTGAATGTTAAATATCGACAGCTAAAATGATAAGGTTTAATGCTTTAAATATATTTTACTGAGAAATATAATGAAATTACTTTATTTATTCTGAAATGAAAAATCGAAAACACGTGCCAAATAACATTGCACTGTTCAAAGAAATGTATTCAATGACAAGTTAGTCCAATATACCCCAATTGATTCTATATATCTCGGGTATGGGAAACGAAAGCCGACAAACATCGTGCAAAATGTCAGGCGAGCAACAACGATAAATGATTACTTAAATAACACTTGGCGGGGTGAGGAGGGCTGTTCAGGGGGTGGTTGGGGCAGTGCAACGGTGAGGGCTCCATTGTAGATGTACGACGATGTACGATGTACACCTACACACATCCACAGGCCAAAGAACACTGAGGCATGCTTATTAAACTTTTATGAGCGCAAAAACAAATACCACAAACGACACTCTCCTCACACACACAAAATCGTGAGTGTGTGAGCGTTGTTTATAAAAAATTGAATAAGAAAAATATAAAATGTACGGCTGGCTGGCACAAATGTCGAAGTAGCAGAAAGCAAAAAGCGAAAAGAACAGCCAAGAACAACAAAGGCCAAACCCTCGCTCTTGGGTATTTTATTTGAATTGAGGGTTTTTTTTTTTTTTAAATGGTCAGGAGTAGGTGGCCACCAAAAGGGGCCGAGGAAACGGTAGTGGGGCCCAACCACAGCTTTATACCTCACAAAGTTACATTTTCCGCACTTGAGTGCATGACGAATATTTAAATTGGGATATGCCTCACAATATAGAAACATTTTCCATTCAATATTTTATTTTCAATATTGTAAATATTTTCAAAAATTTATATTTTAGTGTTAATAACTTAGTGTAGATAAGGGTGGGGCCTAACCGTTCCTAATTGGGTAAAGGTCATTGAAGTATATTATATAGTTAAGCTATAGTTTGTACCAGCTGTTCTCGTTCTAAAGTTTTTATAATATAAATAAAAATATATATTATAGACTTAAACCTATAGAATAAGAGCATTTAACTATTATGCAATCAACCAATCCACTCATACGTAACAAGTTTCCGTGCATAGAGGTATTACTGTCTCACCCGTTTGTCTCACGTTCTATTATACGTAGCTCTTAACCGTCTTATCAGCATGCCGGGCTGCTGCCATAAAACTTTCCACTTGCGGCACTTGGATTCCTTAAAGCTTTTCAGTTCGCATGAAAATTGGGATCTTTTCTATCTGGCCATATCTTGTTTATACGCCCACTTTGCAGATAACACGTTTTCCAGAATTTTCGCTGTGGCAATACGCCAAATTGTGTGTGCATACTACTTTTAGAGGGGATTATTCTCAATCTGTATCTGCAGATTGTTTATCCTAAAGATTTCGCAGAGCAGATATAAAAAGATAAACAAAGTTGCTCGATGTATAGTAACGTTTGCTTGGCTTTCAACGCCCGGATGAGTCATCTACCCAAATGCTTATCTTAAACGCGCCTATTTGGCCTTTTCTAGCTCAGCATTAATCACACAGCTAAAAGTGCAATTGGGCTATTTTGTTATTCCCCTCGTTTTCTATACTTCTCTTCCTATCTTTTACTTTATTTGTTTGTTTGTGATTCGCTTTTTGTTTGCCGGACGGCAGCAAAAGCAAGAAAGCTAATTTTTTGTGTGGGCAGCTGGCCGGCAAGAGCTTGTTGACATATAGATACTCGTGTGTGCAGAGATACAAATTTATACGCCATATATACTGACAAACAGTCCGTTGGTCAAGAATGTATGTATGCCATAACAATTGGCACTCAATTGTAATTGCAGATAACTATGAACTGTGCGGGTTTTCCCTCCGGCGAAACGCTGAATTGACTTATATTTTTCTTGGATCCGCTGCTTTACATACCCCACGAACGGATGCAAAAAAGCTGCCCAACCAGTTCGCTTTTCACGGCAACAGACAAACCACTTTCTTTGTATGCACAGGTTTTTCATTGTGAAGAATTCAAGTCTCAAGGTCGCTTAAGGCACTGAAAGATTAGATCCACGATGAATCTTGGAAATCAATAATTTCTATTATTTATTTAGTAAGCAGTATTTTATAAGATGCATTTAAACTGTCCTATTTCCGGGGCAAATCCAACAATTTGTTTAGCTTTTGTGTGTGCGAATATATATAGTATATTCATTGGATATACGGCGATTCTCCGAACGCTCGCCCAAAAGATAGACGTCAATGCAAATTCAAGTTTTGCAACTGAAAACATTTTCGCTGTCGAGAGATCGAAATGAATTTATACATACATTAAAAAAAATAAAATGAGTGAAAAAAGCTTCGTTCGTTACACATTTGTTGTGGTTGTGGTTGGATTATACTTGTGTTTGCGTGTCTGACGCGCTTTTGAGGTCTGTTTGGGGTATACACGTTTTTAACCCCCTGAAGCCGGCCAGCCTCGGGGTTTTCTTTACCATTTCTACCTCTCCATTTGGCCCATAAGCCCCAGTGTGGACATGTGTGTGAACATTTACAATGCCGTATAAATAACGCCGACTATACTTGTACGGCTGCAACTAAGTAAACATAGTATATTTCGCAGTCTGCCTCTTTGGGCCCCTCCGAAACTATATAGATACATAGATAGATGGTCTATATGGCGCTATAAATTGCTAATGCCGGCAGTGCGGGTGAGAGGAATCAGTAGGGGGTTTGGTAGGTAACTACCGGTTATCGCGGCTTTTGCGGTGAACTTAATGCCGACTGATGTTATAATGGGATCTCAAACAAAGAAAAAAAAGAGAAGGCATTATAATAAAAGATGATTTTCTTTACAGATTCATTATATTTCGACACTCAAAATTACACATTCTCTCTTGTGCAACCATACTTTCCAACTAGTTCCGAGAATTCAAGCAAAATTTTTGGTTGAAATTTATAAGTAGGGGAGGTAGGGGATAGGAATTATAAAAGAATTTATATGATTAGTTTTTTGTTAGAGTTTTAACAAAAAAAGGGCTTATCGCAGGAAGTCGGATAACAACATTGAAGAAAACAAAATAAATGAATCTCAATGTTCATTTAGATTTCAAAAGGCACTTGAAATTAGAGCCTTAATCGTTACTATACTTTTTATCTTTGAACCAGTTAACTCTATTGTTCCATTCTGTCTCGAATGAAAAGATAATTAGTTTGTTTTATTCAAGCATTTTTCGCAGTGAGACTTTTGCTGACGTCACATAGCTGAAGATATTTTTCGCTTTTAGCGCATTCAATATCGAAACTTAAAAAGCCGCAAAACTTTTTTATCGCGCCTGGGTCTGTCCCTTGGTTTGTTTTGCTTTTTTATTTTGTTTTTATAAAGCGTTGCTGGTCGTGCGGAAGGCGAAACAAAAAACTGGATTTTTTTTGGAGCAGCATCACAAGCACAAGATAAGTCCAGAACCGAAAAAGGATTTTGCTCGTTATCAACAAGTTCTGACTAATCTACGTTCATGAGGAGCAATTTTGGAATTTTATCAGAATTAAGAATGTGCTATGACGACGCTATTAGGACATGTGCCTTTTATTGTTGAAAGTGCGCAAATATTAAACTTCCATGTAGAGCAGGTCCCAAATGACAACACACTGGTCAAAATTGCGCTGGTGGGAATTCCTGGGGCCCCTCGAGGAGGGGCGGTGGGCCACCCCGCCAGCCATCCATGCATTTTTGACTTTAATTATGGCCTGCGGCTGGTTATTATTTTCGTTGATAATATACACCAGCGTTTCCAAAATTATGACTCTCATAGAGGCTATGCGTGTACATTAACATAATAATTCCATTAACCGAATTTCATAATTATAAGTTTATTGGCAGAAGTATTTTGGCATATTCGGTCGGATGCTTTGCAGTTCCTAATAAACAAAAACTCCAGCCGCTTTTCCTCGAAGCCACCAAGGGCTATTTAAAGTTAGCAAACTGACCTGATAAGTTGTTGAGTTGTTCGACTAGTTTTCCACCTAATCCATACCCAATCTTTCATGGCAATTGATTCATCAATTCCTTTGGCCATCGCGTTATCAGAACATAGTAATAATATGTGAAATATAGCAAATTTCCAGCAAACACTGATTATTCTAACTACTTCAGAGTAATTTTCATATCATTCTTAATGGTTCCTAATTCTTACTTTGTCATTCTCGCTTTGGTCTTATCAAGTGAAAAGTTTGAGGTATAAAAGTAGAGAGTCAAATTAGCCAGGCCCTCAGTTTTGTTCCTTAAATCGATCGGTAAACACCACTAAAAACGCATCAAATTGATTACGTATACCTTTTGTTTATTTTTTTTGTGATTTATTATTGTTTTGCTGGGAAAGCGATCCCCCAAATGTGACAGTACTAAGACTAGACTATCTGTTACAGAGACATATTGTTTGTAAACAGTCTGCGTGCATCCACTTGACAGCCACTCAGATAACCCAACTGGGATCAGGGAGACTTCCCTATAAAGCTGGTTAATCGATCCGAGAAATCAAAACATCCGTTTGACCGAGGTTTTCCTTAGGTTCAGTTTCCCCGAAGCTTTTCCATTGATAACCCTCCTTGTGGGTGATTCAACTCACAGATGCAGTTGTGTGTTTGTAGTTAATTTGCAGGTTTTCAAGCTGATAACAAGTGGAAAAGTACTTCTAAAGACCGGCATGTGATGGCTCCTAATAAGAACAAACAAAAAACTTTTGCTAACTTGACGGAGTTGCTTCCAACTGACTTGGCACATTAGAGGCAACAGAACCAAACCAGAACCTTGAACTACTTTGGTTTGGACTAAAAAGTGCCGAAGGGCAGAAAAAAGAAACAGCAGCGCAGCATTAACTTATGAATAGAAAGAAACCTGCCTGCGAGTGTGGAGGGAGTACGAGTATATAAAATTTCCTCACAATCATATTGGTTCCATCTACCTAAGTTGCTGCTGACTGACTCCCCTGGCTTCCATACCTAGTGAGCCGCACATCCGAATTCGGTTCCTTGGGGGGCAGGTATATCGTCGCGACCTGTTTTGATCATCCACCTCTCCTTGGTCTGGTCCCTTTACTTGGGCTGCATTTTCGGGCCTGTTTCGGTCATTAGATCCTTATCTAATTTCGTTGCCTGGACTGGACTGGAAATGGACTGGTTTGCCTTGTTTACACCACTCTTTCAACTTCTTCGTTTTCTTGGGCCATTCATATTTGCTACGTGAGCGTTGCGCTGGCCTTTTTTCCGGGTAACTACAGAAATTAGCGTATCGACCACAAAAGCAAACACGCTTCGGCTCGGGTTTGGTTTTTGTTTGTGAGATTGGTTGGTTTGGCTTGTGAGTCTGGCTGGACCTGTGTCTGGGTTACCTTACCTTACCATACCGCTCATTTACGGTCACGTTTCGACGGCAAGAAACTGTCGCCGGTTTTGCGGGACAAGCCTGCCCAAGAATCGAGACAGCGCAGGAGAAGGGCTCGGCCTGTTGCTACCAGGCTGCCTTATCAGCATTATTTAGCATGGCCATAAAGAGTCATATTCCCCACGGATCGGACTCACCCGGTGGTGCAATTAATTTTCACACCTGTTGTCCGCAGCGTCTCGAATTCACCTCACGCGTTGTTTTGCTTCGTTTTTGTTTACTTTCTCACTTGCGTGCTAGCTGGTTTTTCTCGCTGTGTTTGCCATTTGCAATAATTTTTTGTTATGGTAATTAAAGGCTAAAGCCGGCCTAGTGAATGAATATTCAGCTTTTTACTGTGCTCATAAAGTGATGTTCTATGACCTCACGTTACGGCTGGTGGATCTGCTTCCTCCTCTGTAACTCCTAAGTAATTATATTTCTATTACGCAAATTGAACATATTCCATTCCTTCTTAAGCTCATTGAAATATTTTAGTCTGTTTGCTTATATATTGATATATAAAGCCCTATTATTTATAGAAATCTTAAAAATAATCTCAATTGAAACAATAAAATTTATTCACTAGAAATCCTTTAGTTTTGAGTATATAAATATAGTAAATACAAATATATATATATATATATATATATATATAGTTATAGTGCAAACAAACATACTTGATAATAAAGTGTAATATTTCGTGAAGGCTTAACAAAGATGTCTTATTGATTAAAAATGACTTTACCTTTCGCTATGATACAAACGTCATTCAGTTTGTGTGCATTTTGTTATTTGGCCGAGGGGAGACCCCAAACCTTGATAGATTATTCAACAATTGCGTGCCTTTATGGGTATACAATGTGGAGTACGAGCTGCAATGCAAATATTATGAAAAGTCGCATTTGGGTTGCATCCCAATAAGTCCCTCAAAACCAAACCGTCATCACATCACATACTAATCCAACATTAGGACACATTATCTTGCCAAAACCTTGCACTTACCCTCATGTACATATGCTTGTGTATTTATAGTTTCCTCCTAACCATACTAAGTCCAAACCAAATCAGAAATTCACGATCTTTTTCGCATGTATGCGAATGAATTTTATGGACGCCTCAGACTCATTTGCCTGTGGAAGCCAGCTGGACATTGATTGGGCCAAGAGCCTCATCAAAAAGTTCCAAAACAAAAACTGAAAGCGAACAAAAATCAAAACCCCAAACGTTGCACTGATCACCATATCCATTCAGCTGACACAGCTAAGCATCCAAAATCACAATACCATCATCATATACATTGGGTAGAGAGCAAGATTATGAGCCTGTGGAAGCGCATCTCCAGCCATGGCGACTGCGAGCAGCGTATGGCGGCTTACTACGAAGAGAAAGGTCTGCTCGAGCTGCGCCTCTGCTTGGCGCCCTGGATCGAAGACAGGATAATGTGAGTAGAGTAGAGATTTGGGAGTATTGGGATGACTTAAGTCAGCAACAGGATACGATTAAGTCCGTTCAAATCTATTAAGAATATGCAATATAATGTGGTCATTTTTATATCCCTCACAGGTCCGAACAGGTCACACCTAACTCCACTGACCAGTTGGAGCGCGTGGCCCTTAAGTTCAACGAAGATCTGCAGCAGAAGCTTCTCTCTACACGCACCGCCAGCGACCAGGCCCTCAAGTTCCGGGTGGTGGAGCTCTGCGCTCTCATTCAACGCACCTCCGCCGTCGAGCTGTACACGTATCTGCGCAGCGGCCTACAAAAAGAGTTGCAGTTGGTCACTGAGAAGAGCGTGGCTGCCACAACAGGCCAATCAATGCCTCTCAATCCCTACAGCATGAACAACACACCCATGGTTACCGGCTACATGGATCCCAGTGATCTGATGGCGGTATCCAACAACTGCAATCCAGCAGTGGTCCAGGGGATTGGTGCTATCCACAATGTGCAAAATGCAGGCGGTATTGCTTCCCCCGCCCTTGGAATGGTCACTCCCAAAGTGGAGCTGTATGAGGTGCAGCACCAGATTATGCAGACACTCAATGAATTCGGCAACTGCGCTAACGCTCTCAAGCTGCTTGCCCAAAACTACAGCTACATGCTGAACTCCACATCCTCGCCGAACGCGGAGGCTGCCTACAGAAGTCTGATCGATGAAAAGGCTGCTATTGTTATCACAATGCGGCGCAGCTTTATGTACTACGAGTCGCTGAATGAGATGGTCATACACGAGTTGAAAAACTGGCGCCACCAACAAGCGCAAGCAGGAAACGGAGCTCCATTCAATGAAGGCTCTCTGGATGATATTCAGCGCTGCTTTGAGATGCTCGAGACTTTTATCGCGCACATGTTGGCTGCCGTTAAGGAGCTTATGCGTGTACGTCTGGTCACTGAAGAGCCAGAGTTGACACACCTCCTTGAGCAGGTGCAAAACGCTCAAAAGAACTTGGTCTGCTCGGCATTTATCGTGGACAAGCAGCCTCCGCAGGTGATGAAGACCAACACACGCTTTGCGGCCTCCGTGCGCTGGCTAATCGGGTCTCAGCTGGGCATCCATAACAATCCGCCCACAGTCGAATGCATCATCATGTCAGGTAACATTAAGAACGGATTCCTCCTGATTAATATATGTGACTTACATTTTATCCGTTTTATTCACAGAGATCCAATCGCAGCGGTTTGTTACGCGCAACACACAGGTTGACAACAGTAGCTTGTCCGGCCAATCATCGGGCGAAATACTGAATGCATCTAGCACTATGGAGTACCAGCAGAGTAACCATGTTTTCTCTGCTAGTTTCCGCAACATGCAACTGAAAAAGATCAAGCGAGCCGAAAAGAAGGGAACCGAGAGCGTCATGGACGAAAAGTTCGCTCTGTTCTTTTACACAACAACTACGGTGAATGATTTCCAAATCCGGGTGTGGACCCTGTCACTGCCCGTGGTGGTGATTGTGCACGGTAATCAGGAGCCTCAGTCGTGGGCTACTATTACTTGGGACAATGCGTTTGCAGAGATAGTTCGCGATCCCTTCATGATTACCGATCGCGTTACCTGGGCTCAGCTGTCCGTTGCGCTTAACATCAAATTCGGATCCTGCACAGGCCGTTCTCTGACTATTGATAACCTGGATTTCCTTTGTAAGTTGAATATTAAATATTTTTTCCCGAGCTGTAATAATTCTTATTTCTTTCACAGACGAGAAACTCCAGCGTGAGGAGCGCTCTGAGTACATTACGTGGAACCAGTTCTGCAAGGAGCCCATGCCCGAAAGGGCGTTCACCTTCTGGGAATGGTTCTTTGCCATCATGAAACTCACCAAAGATCACATGTTGGGCATGTGGAAGGCTGGCTGCATCATGGGCTTTATCAACAAGGCCAAGGCTCAAGATGATCTGCTGCGTTCCGTCTATGGTATCGGCACCTTCCTGCTTCGCTTCTCTGACAGCGAGCTAGGTATGTAAAAACCATTTATTTAATAGTTTTATAGAGTGACAAGGTTTTTGGAAATGCAGGTGGAGTCACCATCGCCTACGTTAACGAAAATGGACTGGTTACCATGCTGGCGCCATGGACTGCTCGTGACTTCCAGGTGCTGAACCTGGCCGATCGTATTCGCGATCTGGATGTGTTGTGCTGGCTGCATCCCAGCGATCGCAATGCGAGTCCCGTGAAGAGGGACGTCGCCTTTGGCGAGTTCTATTCGAAGCGTCAAGGTAAGCTTGCAATCCCGGATAACACGGTCCAACACTCCTAATCAGAACCTGAACCACTTGTTCTAGATCCCGTGACAGGATATGTGAAGAGCACATTGCACGTCCACGTTTGTAGCAATGGGGACAATGGATCTACTAGTGGAACTCCGCAACATCATGGTGCGCAGGAAAGCATGCAGTTGGGAAAGTAAGTTTTGGACGCCGATGCCACAGCTAATACACCAAATCGACCGCCAACAACAACAACAAAAAAAAAAAAAAAAAAAAAAAAAAAATTCATTTGTTTAGTATTGAGTTTATCATTGGCTTGACTGCTTGAGTAGAGAGCTAATCCTTGGCCTCAGATGATCGATAAAGCCTCTATTGTCGTGGCTGATCGGCCTTATTTTCTCTGCTTATTTGCTTTACTTTACTTTGATTGATTATTTTTGTTTTTGACAAAAAGTTTAATCAGATTGCAATACTTTGAATTCTAAAAAAAAGTCGCAAAGGGGCAAAAAGACGAATCCGAATGCGATTGTTCCTTACTAACCCAAAATTGAGGATCCTTTGTTAACGAACTAATAAAATTAATTGGAAACTCGGTCTGAGCTCTTTGATGAGTTCTCCTTGTCACTTGACTCTACTTTTTGTACTTACACAGAAACTTACCTACCCTACTCTTTGTTTATTTTCATTTTCAACTTTTTGCGGCTAATGATTTTTGGGTGACGGTTCAGTATCTCGCCATCAACTTTCTATAGCCCAGCACGACCTGAGGAATCAGATTCCGATGCTAGCGATGCCGAGGTCCTAGAGAGAATTGTGAATTGTGCTGGGCCCAACGATCCTGTGATAAATGAAATCAGTAATGCCTTAATGAAGGTCACCTATAGCCAGTACGTTTACAATTATTGATCATAAGCTGTGCCATCGCCTTTTATTCAGACTGATGGCTGGGCATTGGGCGCTATTTGACTGTGCCACTTACCGAAAGGTATAACATTTAATTAAGATTCGCATCAAAAGTCACTCAATCCAGATCACTGCAACCCGTTCGTCGGTTGATATCTCCCGAGCAGTTCGTCCGCATACACTCACGCCCTAATAGAGCCATCTTCCTAATTCCTCAAATCGAATAGTCGCTGGCCGCATCAAAATCATTCCATTGCATCGCCACATCAGCAGCACATGCTAAGAGTCACCTTCAACAGATTCATTTATATCAGATGGGCTCTCTAATGAGATTACTAACTTTATACGTAGTCGTTTGCCAACTAGTTTTAAGACTTTTTAACCTTATATAATGAACTTTGCGTTTTGAGAATATTTTTATTTTTACCCTTTTGTTCAAAGTATTGCCATCTTTTTAAACTTTTCAGCATCAACTTCAATGATTATTGTAAGAAATCAAAATCAATGAAATCTTCAAAAACATTAAAAATATGACCTCTAACCACTTACCTTTATCCTCTTCTATATTTCGCTTTGAAAAGCAGCTTGCAGAATAGCACCATCATGCACCTATAAATCTGAGTTAGCCCAATAACTGATTTTGGCAGTTTCAGATTGATAAACTTAAAAATTACGGAATACATTTGAAAAATGTTTAAAACTGATTACAGTGTTAGATTTAAAAATTCCTGCATGCCCTTTTTGAGGGTTTATGTTTGATAATTTGCATGTTCGTTGCTGTTGTAAGTTTTAATTACCATTTTAAATCCGTTTGATGTTATTGTTAATAATTTTAAATATTAAGTGAACCGGTCACTCTTAAATGTTAGGCTTCCATAAAAGCTTATGCAACATTTCATAAAGTCTCAAATTTTCACTTAGCTTCTTCGCACTCTGTCATTTCATTCTTATATGGCCATTCCTACATCTAATGCATAATCCCTATCTAATTTCCAAGAACCCAACGCATGATTTTGATTTATTTAAACAACCCTGTCGTATTATTATTTTTTATTAATGTTTTTCCTTTTCTGATTTTTACACAACTTTGTGCGAAACCTATTTTAGTGGTGACTTCGGAATGGCGGATTTCGATACGATTACGAACTTTGATAACTATTGAAAATATAACTATAACCACTATAGAAGCCTATGTATAAACAAAATCTGATAAACACCTAAACGTGTGCCGCTACCTTGGAAGTCCGACGATGATGTTAATGCCACCTCAACGATTGCAACCATCTGGCGCATGACTCATTGTGCTATTCGAAAGTTTTATTTAATGTTATCTAGATGTAATTATTAGATTTGGGAATGCATCGTAGTAGAAGGTTTTGATTGGTACGTATTTTATCTCTTGATATTGTTACGCTTAAAGATGCACTAACCTTATTGTTTTGCATTTCGGGTCAGAACGTCAAAGATAGATTGAAATAAGTTATAGTTAAATGTTTATTGATAAGCAAAGGATTAGAGAATTTGTTGTATTGTAACGAAGAGGTTTATTATGCTACGTATTAAATGTTCAATTAATTGTTAAACGTATTTTGAAAGTTAATTGTCCTTTTACGCTATTTACACACAATATACACAAGGAATTTAGAGAAAGTAAATGGACTCCGGCACGGAAGTAAGCTGGTTTCAATGGTCAAGGATCCGATAAGTTATTAAGACTAGCTAGAAGAGAGTTTAAACTCCGCACAGGGAACGATACGAAATTACGAATTTACATGCAGATTATCTATATATTTATATATACGTATATATATGTACACATGCGGGCTTTCTCGTCGCAGATGGTGAAACTATTTTTGAAAAGAAAAAACAAGTTACAAGCTACAGATTTTAAATGTTACTCGTGTACCTACTAATTGCTGCTAAGGACTAACTATATTTCGTAGGTTTTGATTTTGATAAATTTTAAAGTGAAATTTTACCTTTGTCCTTGCAGCTTTTTGTGAAACGCCAAACCACAAGAACAACATCTTCAACCACAACAACAACAACAACAATAAGATCTACCAGCGCAATGCATGCATATTGCGACACCTCAACACACAAAACACAACCAACATTAGACACAGCCAGAACATTGTCCCTATCGTGATTATGTGATTGTGTCTGACTTATGCAGAATTTATTAGAATTTCTGTGTTGTATAAACTTTTGGAATGTGTCCCCCGCATGTTATTCGTTTTATATTTTTATATATATCTTTATATATATATATATATATATATATATGTATACATATAATTTGATTTTTTGTACGAGTATGACGAGTTCGTCTGTTTACGTTTATGATTATGATAATGACGAGAGAATAGGTTTAGTTAGTGAGTAACTATTTGTTGAATCTAAATTTTTGATTTTGATTTTAATTTTAAACGCCTAATTTTAGAACTTTATAAATTTAAAAATTACATCGCTTGCTAAGATTATGTTAAACGAAAGATGAAGAGAAATCAACGAGAGCAGAAACGTAAGAAATGTTGCGTTTAATATTTTAGTTCTAATCTAAGTAACAATGTGAATTGCTTTATGTAAAAACCCCTCCTTTATTGGCTTCCAAATGCTGAAAATGCGCAAAAATTTTAACCATTCAATGTATATTAATTTTTTTTTACAACTTGTTTGTTTGAGTCATCAGGGCAGAGTTTGCAATGCATTTCAAATGCGACAAATGCGATTGCCTTTTTAGTCAGTTATCAGAGACGCGAGGAGCACACAGTACGTTTTGTATTTAAGCGCTCGTAAACATAATCATTTATGTAAACAACAACAACAATAACAATAATAACACAACACTACACTTAGCTTTGTACGTGAACCTTAAGAATTTTATAAGACTTAAGTACACCCCCAAAAAATAAATAAACAATTCAATAAACATTTGAAACACTTAAATGCGAATGGAAACGGATTTCCTCTTTTTGTGTGTACTCACAGAATTTGCGAAACCAAATGTAATATCGTGTACGTACGTAAAGTTTTTAATGTTTAATTGTGAAAACTATCGCACACATACACACACACATTCCCCAAAAAACTATACACAGACACACGAGAAAAGCTCGCCAAAAACAATTTTGATATTTGGATACTATTTGAATGTCCTTGTGTACTCACTGTGTACTTGAATTAATTGTGTACATTGTGTAAGTGTTTTAAATGTAATTTCAAACGCTAATTGGGTGTGCAATTTCTAAAAGTAAAGTGGGAAATAACTAAAGAACTATTCTTGTCAAAATGGCCAATAAAGATTTGATTTTAAACATTTAATTTGTGTTGATTGTTTCTTTATTTGTCCAAGAAGTTAATATCACAAAAAGCCAGAGGAGCTAAAGGGGGAGGGTCCACCGATTTAATTCTTGTTGGAGCAGCACTTGTCCTTGGGTCCGTTCTTGCAGGAGCACTGGCACTGCTGACTGCAGGCGCAGTTGTCGCCGCACTTGGTGGTCGAGCACTGACAGTCTAGGAATTTATTTTAATAATGAGCATCCACGTTGGACTTTCCTTCAATATTTTTGTATACTTACTTGTTCCGCAAGCCTTGCAACCCATGTTTGTGTTTTTATATATATTATCTATGAAGATATTGAAATGAACTTAGTAAGAACTTTTTAATGATTGTAGTTCAGCAGACAAGCCTTCTTATAGTATTTCCTAATGCTTTGCGCACCACCAAAATCTAAAAAATTCTTATCAGGGCGTGCGCAAAGTAGCCTTATCATTACCGGGCAAAAAATCATTATGTTTTTGCGCACGTCGATCGCGCGCAATTGCACACGGCTTCCTTATCTTATCAGCCAGCACGGCCCATAGTTTCGATTGGACCGGATCGGCTATAAAGAGCAGGGGTTTTCAATCAGAAGGCATCAACAAGTTTCAAAGCTTCTAAGTTTCGTTGCAAAACCACACAGTCAACAAACCAAAAAACCAACAAGATGCCTTGCAAGGGATGCGGAAACAGTAAGTACAATGTCGAAAGAAGTGGAGAAATTAATCTATTAAAATAGATGTAATATTAATAAAAATAAACTTTTAATTTAGACTGCCAGTGCTCAGCCGGAAAGTGCGGAGGAAACTGCGCCGGAAATAGCCAATGCCAATGCGCCGCCAAGTCGGGGGCCAAGTGCTGCCAGGCCAAGTGATTGATGTCCGTCCACACTAAGGCTAATATAAATAGTTGTTAATAGTTACAAATCTCTGACTGAAGCTGAATAAAAACCATTATAATGTTATAGTTAATCCAATTTGTTTTTTTTTGATTCAACATGAGAAAACGGTATCTAGAAAAAGCTCCCAACAAATGGCTTTTATGAAGCTTAACACTAACTTATAATTGAACAAAACATTTTTTTCCCTCAAAACTTATCCAATTTACCATAGGTAGTTAATCTGTTAATTAACGTTTGTGAGAAATTGTAATTTAATTTAATGCATATAAATCGCCTTAAAAGTTCATTTCGCTTTCCTCTTAAGTAGCTAATTAATCTCTATGAATAAAAGTAAAAAGAAAATCACATAAATAATTTCAGAGCATTTGTGGGTGAAGTTTTTATACCCCCTCCCCACTTTAGAAGCATAAGTTTATAATCTTCGGGGTTTATTTAATTTGCAGCCAAGCAAAACAGCTTGCAACCATTTTCTATGGCCCATTTAGCCAAGTGTGGTTGGCTGTGGAGGTGCGTTAGGTGAAGGGCCATCAGCCGACGGAGAAGGGCACTCGAGTCGCCGCAGTCTTTAAATGTGCAACTTGGAGGGGCCACTACTTGCAGTGGTGAGCAGCGAATGCATGTCTGAGAGTGCCGGTGCTGTTGCCACAGTCGTGTCCTTGCAACATTCCTGAGTCCTTCAGGATGCGTGCCGTAAACAGCCTGACAGGATGTCAGGCAAGTGGGTAAGCACCTGGCAGATTGACGCTGTCTCTGTCTATCTGTCTGTCAGTTGGCATCCGAAAGATGCATTAAGCTCGCTAATTGCAATTGACAATCTTATTTCACAGCCAAACCATTTGAGGGAATTAATGGATTTGGCTGAATCCAGCCAAGAGGTTGGTACAACTTCGGTAGCCTTGGTGCTTAGCTCTTGGCCGAAATTTCAATTTCAGCGTTTTTAATGACGTTAAGCGGTGGCGGAAATGGAATCGCGCCTGGTAACTGCTTTTTGCCTTTTGCCAAGTCATCAAAGTTAATTCGTATAGGTGGAAATTCGAGCTATGATGTTTTTACAGCCATTTCCTGTTTCTGGGGGCCAGGACAACTCAGCCCAGCCAGTTGAACTGCCAGTCAGCCAGTTTCACTTCCATCATCGAGCCTTGTTTTGCACTATTTGCTTTGTTTGGCCTCCGGGCAGGAAATTCGTGTCACACCATTTGCCAGATTCTGCCTGATAAAGTGACACGTTGCCATTGAAAGTTGCAGCCAGCAAGTGGGTCACGCGAAGCGTTTAAATCTCGGCTTAAGGGGCGCATACGCGATTTAAGAGAGAGACACTGACGCACTCACTGGGCGTATACGTGATTTTTCTATTTTTTCTTGGTTGGCTTTCTTAAAGCGCAAACGCAAACAGTTAATTACGGCATTAAGTTTTCATGTCGCAGCAAAGTGAAACGGAGCAAAGCGGAAACAACTGCAATGCGGGCACTTCGTGAGGACTTTGTCGCCAGCCGAAAAGCGGAAAAAGGACGAGGCTCCTGGCGCATCACTTATGCATAAGAACATTTTAACTTTTCGTTGGCCACTTTCGACCCTCGACGGGATAAGGGATAGGGGATTCTGGATTCAGGATACAAGATTCACTATACTGGATACGAAACAGGGGACAAAGGACACGAGCTCGTGTTTATCTTTGCGTGTGAATCTCACCTCCTGGCAGTGTAAAGTTGTTCTACGGCGAAATCAAATTATCCACACAAGTGGTGAGAAGTTTTTGGCAGGCAACGAAACATAAATTAATGAAATGCACAAAAACTGTACCATACCCTTCGCCCACTGCTCATTCTTCGAAAATCCCACCGCCCGTTTTGTGTGCAAATATTCTTAATAATTTATTGCAATTTGTTTGCTAAGCGCTTCGAAACTTTCTTGAACTTTTCAACATAAATTAACAGATTAGTCGGCAGCCGTCGCGTCGAAAGGCAGGCTTCTAGAATGGTGTATTACCACCCTCTTTTTAGCCAGGTGCCAGTTTGGCCCAAAAGCTAGCAAAAGGACCAAAAAACCCAAACAGACTGTGCCCAGACATGTCCTGTTTTGGTTTGGGCTCAGCTGTTTCGGTCGTTTCTGCGTTAATTTCCATCTCCCATAGAAAAGCTGGGAAAACTTTACACTGGGACGCATTGAGTTGAGGTTGAGCGCCAACCACTGTGGCTAACACTATAAATCTTGACCAATTTGCAAATCTCTACAGCCGCCTTTTGTGGCTTGGTTGGATCTCGAATCTATTGGGAACTGGTTAGGTTTCGCCGCACATTCACCATGAAATATTCATTTTTAATTTGTTTTATTTGCTGACCTCGAAAGGCAATCACAGTATGTTTGGATTTAACGGGAATTCTATTGGAAATTTAAACTTAAACGATTTCAAATTAACCAATGTTGTAAAATTACAAAATTTAATTAATCCATTTATAAATATCCAAATATATTTTAACCTTAGAACACAAAGTTAATAGCTAACATTTGTTTTCAACATTTTATAACTTATCAATGATAATCTAAAATTATGGGAGAAAAAATGTCTTTTAAAATCTTGATAAAAATGTATATTTTTGCTAAATATATTTTTTCAAATCATTTATCAATTTGTAAATATAACTTTGGAAATTTAAAGCTGTCAACAGACACGTTGATTTGATATGGTGGCATACATTCGTGTGGAAGTTGAAAGGTCCCAGGTGCGTAATCAAACGCCCCTCCCCACCAATTGACGCCCACCATGGTAGGTGGCGTTGGGAGCCCGTCTGTCTACCACAGCGCTTATCAATCGATTTAGCGGCACTTTTCGCACCGGGCTTATTTTTACGTTTTTCGTTTCGTTTTCAGTTTTCGATTTGTCACTGATTTCCCCAAGCACTTTAATGGTCATGGCCCGGGGTTCAGGGCACTGGGGTCATGGGTTCAGGGGTTAGAGAGGGAGTAAGTGTGTCACCTCGTGATTGCCATAACTAAGGGCAAGCAAACCCATTAGGGCAGCACATCCTGCGGTTGCAGGAAGTCCTTTGCCCTTTGTTGACAGCAATTTCATATGCACGAATGCACCATTAGACGATGTGTCACCCATTGCAAAGACAAAGGCGGGCCACGACACGCCCCCAATCCCCGCCTGTCAGTCAGGAGCAAACATACAAAATTACAGTTTTGTCCTTGTTGACCATTAGATTTATTATAAAACTTTAATGCAACTTTCCCAGCAAATGTATCTCAATGTGTGTTTCGGTGTGTGTGCTAGTGTGTGTTAATGTTGTAATGTTGTTAATTAAGTGAACATGGCAACCGCCCTGACCTGGCAGCTGTCCAACATGTACATATCCGGCCATGTGTACCACCCGATCTCCCACTCCTTTCAACCCATCCCCTGCAACCTGTCAGTTGCAACCGGAGAATTGCAGAGGAAGAGCTCCCCAGCTCAGAGAAAAATGCAGAGTGTCAGCAACGATTCCAAAGCATTTCCGAATGCCATCCGGCGGAGCATTGGCTTTGTCCGTGCCTCATTAGCTAACCGTGCACGTGCACAAATCAATTTGGCTCTGCCGGGCTCGCCCTCCTGCGGCCAAGCTAAAAACAATCATACGACGCGTTGTCCAAACGGCAATCAAAGTCAACTGCTCTTTACTAAAGAAGGAAATTCTGCACTGAACGAAAATTATTATATTTTGTGTCCTTAATTAAAGCTTAAGAGAAACATCATTAAATATTTTGACTATTTTTTTGGTAATAATTACTTCCAATTTCCTATTGAAAATATGCCATTTTTTTAGGTAAATTAAAAGTGAATGTTTTTCCAAGTGCAGACACAGTCAAGTTACAAGAATGTCGTGGAATGTTTTAATAAGCAATGGCTTAGGAGGAGCCAGGAGGAGGATGCCACATTGGATGCTTCAGTTGCACAGGCAAACAGTCAGCCAGTAAGACAGGCAGCCAGCAGGTTTCAAGATTGCTTCAGTTTCGGTAAGTATAATGCAGTTTTTGCCCACACACTCACTCAGCTGATGCTTATCTATTGCAGTGCTTGCCAACCGTACTGATAAGTGCACTTCATGATGTTCAAATTATATGGCTGCCTGGGAACGAGCGCCATCAGCATTACGCCCATATGAAGCAAGCACACACATTCACATTGTTGCATAGACTATTAAACACGCTGCCAGGAATAGGAGGACGGGGGTGAAAATGCATTTTTAATGCAGCGCAAATGTGGCAAGTGCTTGGCCAGGCTTAGAGGATCCATGCTTTTAGTTAACCACAATTCGTGGTGGCTCAAAACCACTAGAAAACTTTGGACTCTCTCTTCCTCCCACACTCTTTGCTTTAGCCGAACCCAATTAAACACCAATTAGTGCTGGGTTAAAGTTTGGGTTTAGTCAAACTTTTGAATTATTTCGGCATTGATTTTTGAACTCTTGCCCTGTGCCTATTTAACGACCCTCAATTGGGCTCAAGTACAGGGCTCTTTTTCACGTAATCCTCATTGTGTAATTGTAAGTAGCTCTTGAGGACAGCCGGGCGGAAATTAAATCAGTGCGAACTACTCTAATGTGGTTGGAAACAATGACGTGACTTGGTTGCCCAATGCCGGATGATAATGTCATAAATTAATCAAGACAAGTATACGCCCCGGAATCCAAAAGCTCAAGCTGTTGATTGGGTGGGTAAATATAAAGGTCAAGCACTCAGAATAACAATTTATTTATATAGGTTATGAATTGTATCTAGAAGGTTGGTACTCTATAAGCTTAAAAACATTATTTTAAAGGAAAATAATAGCATAGTAGTATAGTAGAATATCAGTTGGTAATAAGTATTATTAGAGACAAATGTTCTTTTAATATTAGGGGTTGTTCAGTGATTATTATAAAGATTATAAGTGTAAGCAGTTGCCTATTGAAAGGTTATTAAAAGTTAAGATATAAACTAATAAGTTCAGTAAAATGGATTTGTTGTAAGAGCTAGTTAAAAGCAGTTAGTATAGGGAGTTGCATAACTTCCATCTTAAAGTATTTATAAATTTAGTGCAATGCAGTGAAG